GTACAACAGGAGGAAAGATGAAGGTACCAGAAGACGCAGGAGGAATGAAAGAATTCAAGTGCACAGAGGGAAATACTGTTACCTGATGGTACGCTGAGGGGATTGTAATCATTGTAATGAAACTTCATTTCTGGTACCTTCACCTTCCATAAAGGGAGAAGAGTCATCTGATACAATTTGATGAACTTGACCTACACCTATGGATGCAGTAGCTCAAAAGAGGGAATAAATCTTTACAGCGAGGATCATTCCCACCCCTTCCATACACAGAGTAGACAGGGATGGGCAACTTTGACATTGGCTACCCAAAATGAGAGGCTACAAAGCCAAGAAGTGACTGGTTTACAAGCTTTCAAGAGGGAGCCTAGATCCAGAGGGCCTGAGGGAGAAGAGAGGAGTGCGGGACCCCACCCAGAGAAGCAGTGCCGATGACTGACATGGAGAGATGGAGCAGCTGGGAACTTTAGACCCAGAGAGGGAGAGGGGCTGTGTGCTGAGGGGGGGGGGAGCAGCAGGCTTACAGGGTATACCTTTTGGTTGGTTGATGATGTGATGCATGCAGGGGATTGTAACCATGGCAATGAAACAATATAAGATAGGATGAATGTAAAGCTAATGTTCTCCCATGTAAACAGTCACATAATTCACAATAAAACTAGCAAACAAAAAGAATAAACGTTTTTCCAAAATATCAAGCTCTTTATTTGAACCCAGCCTGGCTCATACTGTTTACCACATTTAATCCAAACCATACAATAAAGTCAACTCTTTTCATTCTTCATTTAGAAAAAGGAAACTGAGGCATAGGAAGGTTGAGTAAATTGCCTCAAATGTTACACAAGGAAGTGCTGGAGACACATAGTTCAGCCAGACTAGGAGTTCCACATTCTCCAGTTTGCAATATTGGTAACACCCCAGGTGGAAAATTCCATAGCCTCAAACGCCAGGAATGGGTGGGGCATTTGCTGAGCATAAATGGATCTTTGTGTTGGGTGGACAACACAAGATACTAAAGTGTCGGATCATGTACTCTTAATATGTTTTTATATATGATATGATTATTATATACAGACCTTATCATCTAAGAAGGGAAAGGTTGGAATCATTTCTATCTCATATCTCTTTTAAAAAAAAATGTTCTTTAAATGCTAGGAATTGGTGGGGAAAGGTAGGAAAAGACCAAGTTTTAAAAGAATAATTTGCGATCGTTGGTGGAGGTAGTGGTGATGTGCCGTGGAGGAATAGGTTCTGACTCATAGCAACCTGGCATACAGTTTCCGAGGCTGTAAATCTTTTTTTTTTTTTTTTTTTTCTGAGGCTGTAAATCTTTAAGGAAGCAAAAAGCCTCATCTTTCTCTAGCGGAGCAACTGTTCTTAGTACTCTTGAGTCAGTTCCGACTCATAGACTTGTATAAGATTTCCAAGGAGTAGCTGGTGGGTTTGAACTGCAGACCTTGTGGTTCACAGTCCCGTGCACAGCGCTACACCAAAAGTTATTTAAACATTTAGCCACCTAGCAGACATAGCAAAATGTCCCTTTTCTGATTATTCAGTTATGCTGGTTAGTAATTCCATACATGAGCCCTGGATACCCACAGATAAATGTAAAAACCTTCCCTAAAAGCCGAGACTGTAAATTCCAAAAAGGCAAAGTTTCCCCCCTCCCCCCAAAAAAAAGCTAAAGAGGATATAGAGAAACTCTGTTAACTGATGGTATGTGAAGGGGATTATAATCAATGTAATGAAACAAGGTATATGAATGTTTGAATGTGAAACCGATGATGTGCCCTGAAAACTTTCACTCAATCCACAATAAAAACCTTAAAAAAAAAAAAAAAAAAGTTATTTAAACAGAGTCCTGGTGTGGTTCCTTAGGATAAGCACTGGACCCCAAGATCCGTTGTTCAAATTCACCAGACACGCCTTGAAAATCCTATGTTGTTACTGTTAAGTACCCTTGGAGTCATTTCCACTCATAGTGACTCTGAATACAGTTCCCGAGGTGCGGCTAGTTAGTTTGAACCTCCAACCTTGGGGTCCAGTGCTTATCCTACAGCGCCACATCAGGACTCCTTGGAAACCTTAATACAGGGTCGTTGTGCGTCGGAACCGACTCAGTGACACACAACTACCACCATCACCATGAGTCGGAGCCGATTCGAAGGCACTGAACAACAAGGTTATTTTTAAAAAGATAGGTCTTCTGTGTCCAAGTCTGTCATTAATTAAACCGAACAAGCAGCCAAAATATCAAGTAACCAAAAAAAGTAACAAAAATACTTTAAATCAGCCATGTATGAAAGGCAGGTACAGCTAAGAAGATTTATGTCCAATTTTCAGCCGTAGGCACAGACAGGGACACAAAGTGATAAAGTCACACAGCTCCGAGCGGGCGGCGGGAAGGTTAGGATCAGGCCACGCCCTCTAGAGGAAGACACTTGATAGCTGCTTCCAGATCCATCTGTTGTTAAGGGCCATCGAGTTGCTTCAGGCTCATAGTGACCCTGAATAAGGTTTCCAAGGAGTGACTGGTGAGTTTGACCTTGTGGTTCTAACCGACTTTGGGATACAGTGCTTTATCCCACAGTGCCACACCAGGACTCCGAACCCGCCTGTGGCAACCCAGTAATGCTACCAGGTACGGGCACACTTCCGGTGGGTGTGCCACCTCCCTGAAGGGCAGTCAATTCAGCCGGTCCTATGCAAACCGGAAGTTTGTCATCCTTCACTCCCCGCCCCTTGTGGAAGTGACGCGCGGCGGGGTTGCCGGAAGAAGTGGCGAAGTTACTTTTTAGGGGACCAAGCAGTGGCGGCGTGCAAGGGGATAGAGAGAAGGAGAAAGCCGAGTCAAGGAAAGGGACAGAGGCAGGTGTACTCAGGAGGAGGCAGGTGTGGGAGGATTTCTGGGTCCGGGGCCTCCAGTCCCTCCGCGCGCTGCTCCGCTCTCTCCCCCTCTTTCCGTCTACCCCCTCCCCTCCGTATCCCAGCTGTTTCCAGGGCAACAAGAACAGGAGACCCTGCGAGAGGCCGCCCACCAGACCCCCGTGTGCAGCCATGAGCCCCGCCCCCCGTTGGTGCTCGGAGAGGGGCGGGACCTGGAGCAAGGTGTGGGGGCGGAGCATGGTGGGGGGTGGGGGGAACTGAACTGGACAGGAGGGACCTGGGCTGGGTCTAGGAGTAAGATGTTGGGAGAGGGTCTGATCGGTTTTGCTGAGAACTGAACTTGGCATGGCTGGTGGGGGCTCTAGATGGAAAAGATACGGCAGGAAGAGAGTTTGCTCAAGTCAGGTGAGGTGGAGTCCGAGTCAGAGTAGGTGGGGCGAAACTGGATGGGCGGGAGGAAGTGAAGGCAGCCGGAGTACTGGAGGAGGGGCGGGACCTGGTGGGCATTGGGTAGGAAGACAGGGAGAGGGGCGGGGCCTGAGGAAAGCTGGTTGGTGGGACATGGAGAGGGGAGGAGCTCGAGGCAGAAAAGGGGCAGGATATGTTAAGGACGGGTGGGAGGATTTGAGGGCTGGGGGTGGAGTCTTTATGAAGTTGAATCTGGGAGAGATGGAGAAAGGAGGAGGGACCCCCATAAGTACATGTTAACTGGTCTGGAGGGGAATCCTTCCTCATCCCTCGACTGTTAAAACCTGTGCCCTTGAGCAGATTACTACTGAAAGCAACGGTGTAGGACAGAGTTGTTAAGTGCTGTTAAGTCGGTTCCGACTCATAGTCCAAATCGACCTTTCATTTCAGAGGTTTGTCCCACAGCGCCACACCAGGACTCTGTAAAACAGAGTTAAACTGCCCAATAGGGTTTCTGAGGCTGTAATCTTTGTCGCTACGAGACAGAACTGACTCGACAGCACTTAACAACATTTATGGAAGCAGAAGTGTCGTATTTTTTCTCCGGACGTGTAGCTGGTGGGTTCCAACTGCTAACCTTTCCAGTAGTAGCCATACCACTGTGCTACTAATGCTCCTTTTGAAGTTCTTAACGCCCCTCTAATCTGTAGGCTGCTCCGTGACCCCACCATGTCCACATCCACCACCAGTTCCCTGGACAGCCCTCTGCCTGGTGAGTGACCCCATCCACACATAGCCACTCCCCAGTACATTGGTCAGGAGATACTCACTATGCCTCCCTCTTGTCTCTCTCCCAGGAAATGGCCCCCCTCAGGCCAGTGCCCCTGCTTCACCTGCAATAAAGGAAGAGGGCTCTGAGCCGTGGCCTGGGGGCCTGGACCCTGATGTCCCAGGCACTGATGGGGCAGGCTCTGCCTGCAGCGTGGGTGAGACAGGGCCCAGGGACAGGGTCAGGGTGGGCACTAGGAAGGTTGAAAGCGGAATCAAGATGGGGAAATGGCAAAAACTCCTTCTTGTTCTCCCTTGACATCTCTTGCTTTGATTCATTCTTTGGGGCCCACTGTCATATCTTTCTATCCGGATCTCCATCTTCCTGGCTGTTTACATCTCTCTAATCAGGAACCCTCTGCCCCATGATTCTCATGGACCTATCTCCTTACCGCTCTGTGTCTTCGTTCTTTAGTGTTGTTATATCAGAATTACCACAAACAAATGTATTCGCTCACAATTTAGGAGGCTGGGGATCCAAATTCAGGGTGCTAGTTCTAGGGAAATGCTTCTTTTTCTGTTAGCTATTTGAGAAGGTCCTTGTCTCTTTTCATCATCCGTGGCTTGACATCCCTTGGAGATCGCTGTGTGTCTTATCATCAATCTTCCCCTGGGTCTAGGAGGTTCTCAGCACAGGGACCCTGGATCCAAAGGACATGCTCTACTCATGGCTCTTTTTTGTTGGTGATGCCTCTGATACCTGCTTGTTTACTTGATCACTTTTATATCTCAAAGAGATTGGTGTAAGATACAACCCAGTCCTGTAGATTATATCCTATCTTATTAACATAAGTGCCTCTGTTGTTGTTATGTGCCGTGGAGTCAGTTCCAACTCAGAGTGACCCTGTCCAGGGTTTCTGAGGCTGTAAATCTTTACGGGAGCAGAAAGCCTCATCTTTCTCTCCTGCCTAAATAACATCTTAAGAGGTGAGGATTTACAACAGATAGGGTAATTACATTAGATCACGAAGTGGACGATAAATGCACAATACTGAAAATCATGGTGCAGCCAAGTTTACAAGGGGAGTGTGGATAGACACACAGTTTAATCCCTAATGTCCTGTCTCTTACGGTCTTTGCCCACCACCCCAGTCACCCCAGACCCAACAGAGGAGCCTGAGCGCAAACGGAAGAAGGGTCCCGCTCCCAAGATGCTGGGTCACGAGTTGTGCCGAGTATGTGGGGATAAAGCCTCCGGCTTCCACTACAATGTCCTCAGCTGTGAGGGTTGCAAAGGCTTCTTCCGGCGCAGTGTGGTCCGAGGTGGGGCCGGGAGATACGCTTGCCGTGGCGGCGGGACCTGTCAGATGGACGCCTTCATGCGGCGCAAGTGCCAACTGTGCCGTCTGCGCAAGTGCAAGGAGGCGGGCATGAGAGAGCAGTGTGAGTGTGGGCGTCGGGGCGGGGGACCTGCCCGCCCTGCTTGGCGTCCCTGCTGAGGCCCGTGACCCCTCGTAGGCGTCTTATCAGAAGAACAGATACGGAAGAAGAAGATCCGGAAACTGCAGCAGCAGCAGCAGCAGCAGCAGCAGCAAACATCCCCTGTGGGGCCAGCAGGTGGCAGTAGCTCGGCTTCTGAACCTGGGGCCTCCCCTGGGGGACCGGAGGCAGGCATCCAGGGCTCCGGGGAAGGAGAGGGTGTCCAGCTAACAGCGGCTCAGGAGCGGATGATCCAGCAGTTGGTGGCGGCCCAGTTGCAGTGTAACAAGCGCTCCTTCTCTGACCAGCCCAAGGTCACGGTATGGTCCGTGACACAGCCTGGGTCCAGTAGGCCCCAGGGCAAACCAGGGAGCCTGGGCAGGAGCTCCAGAGGGTGGGGCTTGGGCTCAAGGGCGGAGTCCCGGGCATGACCCCGCGCCCTGTGTCCCCAGCCCTGGCCCCTGGGGGCGGACCCTCAGTCCCGGGACGCCCGGCAGCAGCGCTTCGCCCACTTCACAGAGCTCGCCATCATCTCCGTCCAGGAGATTGTGGACTTCGCCAAGCAGGTGCCTGGCTTTCTGCAGCTGGGCGGCGAGGACCAGATAGCCCTCCTCAAGGCCTCCACCATCGAGGTACTGCCCAACTTCAACCTGGCCCTGCTCTCCGTTTCCTGGAGACCTAGGAGAGGAGCCCAGGCGAATACTAGGTTTTTAGTGGCTAGCAAGTCTTCCTAGTCCTTACTCTCTTGGGGGTGACATTCCACAGAGGATGATGTTCTTTGTTGCAGTGAGTTGATGTTGATTTGTGGTACCCTCATGTGTTCAGAGTAGGACTTCAAGGTTGTGTCCAATCAGAAGTAGAGCACCAGACCTGTCTTTCAAAGTGCCTCTGAAGGGGCTTCAGGTTGCCAACTTTGTAGCTAATCATCGAGCACCTAACCGTTTGTGCCTCTCAGGCTGCAGGGATCCCTTACCAAGGAGGGTGGTAGATGCAAAGTGCACACACCAGACCACCAAGAGCTTTGCTGAGCCAGGAAAAGAGCGGCAAGGGGCTGAGCTTAAGGACTGGGCTGGAGGGGCCCGTGTTATAATGTGCCAAACAAGTTTTCCACGGGCTAACAAGTATTGAGTGCTTACTGTATAGGGGATCTGGCGCACAAGAGTTCTGTGCACAGCTGCCAGCCAAAAGCTAGGGCGATTTGAATCTACCCAGCAGTGTTTCAGGAGTCCTGGTGTGGCGCTGTGGGTTAATGGGCTAGACTGCAAGGTCAGTTTGAATCGCAAGGTTGGTGGTTCAAGCTCATCAGCCGTTCCTCAGAAACCCTATCCAGGGTCACTATGAGTCGGAACCAACTTGATGGCATTTAATAACAAGAAGAAGCAACTCTATAAGAGGTACTCCCATAAGGATGACAGCGTAGAAAACCTTACAGAGCAGTCCTAATATGTCACCTGGGCTCACTACGAGCAGGAATTAACCTAAGGGCCCCCAGCTGCAGCCGGCTGCATGCGTGTCAGTAAACCACACAGACAAAACAAACGCTTCTGCTCCCATGCTTGGGACTGGCCGGGCCACACTGTTCTAAGTGGAAAGTCTTCATGTTGGCCAGAGCTGACTGAAAGAAAGGGGGCAGGAGGTGAACACTGATCCTGGGGAGACTGGCCTCCTTGGGCCGAGTGAATGTTGAAGACGCTTCAACAAGCTAAGGGAAGGAGACTTGCTGGAGAGTTGGGATGCCCCTGAGCAGTTCCTGGCAGAGTGCAGACCCCCTCGTGCTCTCCCCCGACCCCCTTTCATGCCACCCTCAGATCATGCTGCTGGAGACGGCCCGGCGCTACAACCATGAGACGGAGTGCATCACCTTCCTCAAGGACTTCACCTACAGTAAGGACGACTTCCATCGTGCAGGTAAGCAGAACCACACCAAACAATGCCACAAGGGGGCGCGCTCTACTCCAAAACCAAACCACCTGCCATCAAGTAGATTCCAACTCACAGTGACCCTGTATAGGGTTTCTGAGATGGGAAATCTGTACGGGAGAAGACAGCCTCACCTTTCCCCTACGGAGCTGCTAGTGGTTTTGAACTGCCAAACTTGTTAGCTCAGTGCCTACTCTACAGTACCACCAGGGCATCACAAAGAGCGACTGTGAGGAAAAGCGCCACAAGGGGGCGTGCTTCCAGGAACAGATTTTTCTTGTCTGAGAGACTGGGACTCCCTGGTAGTGCAAAGGTTAAGTGCTCAGCTGCTAATCTGAAGGCTGACAAGATGAACCTACCTGTGGTCCTGCAGGGCAAAGACCTGGTGGTCTGCTTATGTTAAGATGAACCCCCAACCAAACCCATCCCATTGCCTCCAAGTCCATTCTAATTCACTGTAACCTTCTAGGACAGAGCAGAACGACACATAGGGTTTCTAAGGTGGTAAATGTTTACGGGAGTCAACAACCACATTGAACCACCAACTTTTTGGCTAGTAGCCCCATTTCACCACCAGGGCCAGGGCTCCCTTATTAAGGAATTTGTTGTTAAGTGCCATGGAGATGGTTTCTATTCATGGTGACCTTGCATAGGATTTCTGAGTATGTTCATCTTTGCAGGAGCAGAAAGCCCTCACCGTTCTCCCACAGAGTGGCTGGTGGGCGTGAACTGCCAACCTTGTGGTTTCCAGTCCAGTGCATGTCATACAGAGTCACCACGCTCCCCAATTAGAAAGTATCAGGTTACAATTCAGATTTAGAAAGGACTCAGAATAAGGGGTGCCTCAGTCAGGACAGCATCACCTCCTCTGTGCCCACAGACCAGCTGCTCTCTGGCCCTAGAGGCCTGTGGTCCCCCAGCTACTGTGGCAAGTATGACCAAGTTCTTTTAACCCTGCCAGCAAGTGCTCAGAAGCACTGCACGCTGCCAGCCAGCAAGCCTCCTGCCAGAATGTTCTCGGCTTTCTCACTCCGTGGGCCCGGAGGCTTGCGGCTCTCTCATGCCCATTCTGCTGCCTCTGTCTCTCCACGGTGCTCGCCGCCTCTTGCCATCTCTGGTGTTCACTGCTCTCTGTCTCCTGGATCAAGGAAGCTGGGTGCAGGGATCTTGGGTTCAAAGAACATACTGTACTCCTTGCTCTTCTTTCTGGATGGTCATGAGACCTCATTTGAAGCTTAACCAAAAGGCAAACTGAACCACATTTGCGTTCCTTACACCTTATTTGCATTCTCCCACCCAAATGAGGGTGCCAAGTACCTTATTTTCTTTGTTAGCAAGCTGTCCAGTCCCCAGGAGTCCTGTAGGATAAGTGCAGGACTGCAAGATAGGTTTGAACTATAAGGTAGGTGGTTCACACTCACCAGCCACTCCTTGGAACCTCTGTACTGGGTAGCTAAAAGTCAAAACTGAGTTGACACTTGGCACTTAACAACAACAACAATCCAATCCCCTGGGTGGGCTATAAGCACCTCATTTGCAAGTCCTACCCAATCTTTTGGGTCATGGTGGTGGTAGTGGTGGTTATGTGTGCCATGGAGTTGGTTCCAACTCATAGTGACCCTGTACAGGGTTTCCGAGGCTGTAAATCTTTACGGGAGCAGAAAGCCTCATCTTTCTCCCGCAGAACAGCTGGTAGTTTCGAACTGCTGACCTTGCGGTTTGCAGCCCAATTCGTAACCACTATGCTACCAGAAGGCCCATGTCCTTCACTGTAGCGCAGGCAGCTTCATTTCAGGGCCTGCTGCCCAGAACGGTGGTGTGAGCTGTCATCAAGTGGACACCAAGACCGCATGCGCAGCAAAACAAAATGCCGCCTGTTCTTCTTCCTGCTTCACCATCGATGAATGCCACGCTCGAGTCCAGGGTTTCAGCCACAGTGTATTTTGAGCACCTTCCCACCAGGCCCAGTGAAGGGAGTGCTCATTTCCCAGCACAATGCCCAGCACCACTCTGTTGTACTCCATAGGGTTTTTATTGATTGATTTTCTGAAGTAAAGGGCCAGGCCTTTCTTCCTAGTCTTAGTCTGGAAGTTCTGATGAAACCTGTCTGCTGTGGATAGCCTTGTTGCTCTTTGAACTGCAGATGGTCTTAGCTTCCGACATCATTGAAACATGCAAGCCACCAGCGTTCAACACAGACAGGTGGGGATGGCCCCTGTAGGTGCGCATTAAAATTGAGGGCAGGCACGAGGCAGTCTTGAGGGTGAGAATGAGCTTTCCCCCAAGAGCAGTTAGTAGTCAAGTGCTTATTCTTCAGCGCCACCAGGGCTCCATAGGGTTTCCTAGGTTCCCATCATCTATACGGAAGGAGCCCTGGCACAGTTGTTAAGCACTTGACTGCTAACTGAAAGGTCGGTGGTTCAAACCCACCAGTCCCATCTGTGGGAGAAAGACGTGGCAGTGGCAGTGGTAGTCTGTTTCTGTAAACTGTCAACACGGGGTTGCTATGAGTTGGAATAGTTTTGACGGCATTCCCAGACAACATTGTGCCAGGCACTCGAATAGACCTGGGGGCACATAAGGGAACAAAATGACAAGGGCGTTATCCTCACCACCATGGGTGGTGGGCTGGTAAGAGTCCAGGGCAGGGGGGTTTATGAGGCAAGTTGGGGGCAAGCCTCTCACCCCCAGCCTCTGGCTGTCCTGCCCCAGGCCTGCAGGTGGAGTTCATTAACCCCATCTTCGAGTTCTCACGGGCCATGCGGCGGCTGGGCCTGGACGATGCTGAGTACGCCCTCCTCATCGCCATCAACATCTTCTCTGCCGACCGGCCCAACGTGCAGGAGCCCAAACGGGTGGAGGCGCTGCAGCAGCCGTACGTGGAAGCGCTGCTCTCCTACACACGCATCAAGAGGCCCCAGGTACCGCCCCCGAGGAGGCTGGCCCCTAGCCCACCCTGATTTTGGCCGGAGCAGCCCCTCCTCACCACATTCTGCCCCCGGCCGCCTGCCTGCTGGCCCGCCCTCCCATAGGACCAGCTGCGCTTCCCGCGAATGCTGATGAAGCTGGTGAGCCTGCGCACACTGAGCTCCGTGCACTCAGAGCAAGTCTTCGCTCTGCGGCTCCAGGACAAGAAGCTGCCGCCCCTGCTGTCAGAGATCTGGGACGTCCATGAGTGAGAGGCCTCGGACCTCCAACAGACGAATGCCACTGCCCGCCCTTTCTCCTCCCAGGGCGGGAAGGGAGCCCCCTTGGGGTGTGCCCGGCCGGCTAGCATCCAGGCAGACACGCTCCGCTCCATGCCCAGCAAGTCTTCCTGGGAGGGCGGAGGCAGTCCCAGGTCCCGACCTCTGACCTCTTCCGGCCTGATCCCAGTTGCCCTCCCCACCAGCTTCCACCTCAAGCCCACCGCGCAGTGCACCTTGAGCAGAAGGAGGGGAGGGCCCGTGACTCTCCTTATTTCCAGGAGACCCCAGGGTCCCCCTCGCCCTCTGCTACTTTTATTTAATAAAAATCAAAAAACAAACAAAAAAAAACATAGGAAATAAAATCCGCATATAAACCTGCTCCGAGCTGCAGTGAGTGAGTCCAGAGATCTGTTGGGGTCTCCAACTGTCCCAGCCCCTGGACCCGGTCCTGCAGAGGTCTGCCAGACCCCGGTGGACACAGCCTGGTGTACTGGACCTCCGGGAAGCAGAGGAGGGGCCCCAGAGTGGGACCACCTTTCTATGCAGGGTGAATCTGGACCTTTGTAAAGGACAAAGGAAGTTGATGAGGGCATGGGCTTTTGCTCAGTAATGACAGTCCCCTGTGGGCCTAGAGTCCCTATTGTTAGGTGCTGTGGTGTGGATTCCAACTCATGGACCCTGTGTCCAACCAAAGGAAACACTGCCTAGTCCTGCACCTACCTCACAGTCTTCCTATGTCTGAGCCCATTGTCGCCACTGTGTCAACCCATCTCATTGGAGGTTTTCCTTTTTTTGGTTAACCCTTCACTGTACCAAGCATGATGTCCTCTAGGGACTGGCCCCTCCTGAGAACATGTCTAAAGTATGTAAAAAGTCTCGCCGTCCTCCCTGCTAAGGAGTATTCTGGCTCTATTTCTTCCAGCACAGATTTATTCTTTCTTCTGGTTTTGTTGTTAAGTGCCATCGAGTTGGTTCCAACCCATAGAGACCCTGTATAGGGTTTCCAAGGAGCGACTAGTGAGCTTGAACCACTGACCTTACCATTCAAACGGTTTTGCAGTCTGGTGTATTAACCCACAGCGCCACACCAGGACTCCTTTTGGTAGTATGTGGCATATTTAATAATGCTTTGCCAACACCAAACAGACTGCTAATCTGTTTGAGCCCATCAGAGGTGCCTGTGAATAAAGGCCTGGTGATCCACTTCTGAAAAAGCCATTGAAAACCCTATGGGGGTTTTATGGGGTCTATGTATGCACACAGATTAGAGCTGACTTGAGCACAATTGTTTTTCTGTGGGCCGGGTTCTGTGCTGGACATTCTGGGATGCAGATGATGTCCTTCTAACAAATAATTTACTACAGTAAAGTCTGCAAAAGCTGGAACCCATATAACGGGTTCCTGTTGAAAGGAAATGCAAACGTCTTCCAATAATAGCAATAGGAATGTGGAAGACTGCGACAGAAAACTTTCAAGACCCAGAAAGCAAAGCAGTCCCGTGGAGTTCTGGCTCTTACAGGCTTCACTGTATATGCCAGACAGACTCTCTATAGGGTTTCCAAGTAGCAGATAGTGGATTTGAACCGCTGACCTTGTGGTTTGCAATCCAGTGCTGATCCTACAGCACCATCCCAGGAGTTCAGGCAAAGTTGTAACACTGGAGAAATCAATGGACCACACACTCAGTTTGTAACTAGACCGGGCTGGAAGCGGGGAGATGGATGGGGGCAGAATATATTGGAATAGGGAATTTAATGGCAGAGACCCATGGCAGTTTGGGGGTCTGAAGCAGGAGATCTCAAAGATTAGACAACCATGCAGCTAGTGAGAGTCCAAGTTGAGGGAAGAGGAAGGACAGGCCATGAGTTCCCACAATTCCTCTTTCCTCTGGGCCAGATACTGCAGGGCACTGGAGGGACAGTCCCAATTTAGGGAAGCTAGGGTCCTGATGTGGCACTGTCGGTTAATGCACCAGACTGCAAAGCCGTTTGAACTGCAAGATCGTCGGTTCAAGCTCACCAGTCACTCCTCGGAAACCCTATCAGGGTCCTATGGGTCGGAACCGACTCGACGGCACTTAACAACAAACAACAACAACAAGGGTCCTGATGTGGCACTGTCGGTTAATGCACCAGACTGCAAAGCCGTTTGAACTGCAAGATCGTCGGTTCAAGCTCACCAGTCACTCCTCGGAAACCCTATCAGGGTCCTATGGGTCGGAACCGACTCAATGGCACTTAACAACAACAACAAGGATCCTGGTGTGGCGCTGTGAGTTAGTGCGCTGGACTGTAAGGTTGGTTTGAACCTCAAGGCCGGCGGTTCAAACTCACCAGCCGCTTCTCAGAGACCCCCATACGGGATCGCTATGAGTCGGAACCAACTCAAAGGCACTCAATACCAACAACAACAGGGTCCAGTTTGGGTACTGAAAGGTAAGTTTATTCGAGAAGTGGATGGTTATATGCGATCGCCTTAGTAATGTCCTTGCTCTGCGCTAGGACCGGTTTACAGAGAGGGAAACAGGCCACGAGACCGAAGAGTAGGTCAGGACCCGAACACTATTATTTATTAGCAAGGATCTGCAGGAAGGGCGAGTGCTAGGCCTATCCGCGCAGACTGACAGATGCGCAGCGCCCAGGTGTCACCCCGACGTAGTCCCGGGCAGGAAACCCGGAGATGTGTGCGCAGCACTGGGGTGATAGGATGAGTCGGGGAAAGCCCGGGGCCACTGCATGAGCACAGCGCCAAGGCGCGAACTCGCACATTAGCACCAGAGAGGGGGCGTAGTTATGAGGCGCACCAGCCATGAGAGGGCGGGTTTTGTGAGAATCTGTCAGCATGGGGGCGAGGCCACATCCCAACTTGGGAGAAGGGGCAAGGTGTATTCCCTAAATGGAAGAACGGGGCGTGGTCGGGAGGAGCCAATTTGAGGAAAGGAGCCTGGTCTTGCCCGTATTTGGGTGGAAGGGGCGTGGTCTGGCCTGGCCCGGTGCGTGGTCGCCGTGCGCCTGCGCGCGCTGGAGTCAGGGGTTACGGCGGCGTCGGCTGTGGCGGGAAACGCTGTTTGAAGCGGGTGAGTAAAGGAAGACGGGGAGTTGGGGGACTTCGGCCTAGCAGGGGTGGCAGCTTTGAAGAGCCGGGCACGTGAGTATGAAAGAGGTTTGTGAGCGGTCGCGTGGCGGCGGGAAGGAGACACTTTTCTCCAGCGCGCGAAATAAAGACAGGATCTTGCGTCTCCTGGCGCGTGCGTGCGGAAGCGCGGGAAGATGACGTGTGTGTGTGTGTGTGTGTGTGTGTGTGTGTGTGTGTTTTCGTGCGCGTGGGACTCGATGGAGATGGGGAGTGGGAATGCTGGGATGGTCTATAGGGCGACGAGGTCAGGAGGTGTTGGGGTTGATGGCCTTATTTATCCTTTATTTAAAAGTGAAGTATTTATTATTCCACCTGTGCTACACCTGCCGAAACTGATGACACTTGAAACCAGATACTGCCCTGTTGATTCATACTCACGACGATCCCGTGTGTGTCAGAGTAGAATAGTATTAAAATTTCAGAAGTACTAGTCAGGTCTTTCTTCTGAGGTGCTTGTGGATGGGTTGGAACCTCCAACCTTTCTGTTAGGAGCCAGAACATAGCTGTCGGGACTGTAAACGCACATGACATGAAGTGGGCTGTGTTCCCCCCGGGGTGAGGTGAAGCAGGAGGGTGGGCGCAGCACTGGGCAGGGCTGCAGTTTTAAACAAGGTGATCAAGGAAAGCATCTTTGAGAAGGTGACATTTCAACAAAGACCTGGAGGGAGGGAGCCATGGAAACTTCTGGAAGCAGAGAATTCAGAATCAGCAACAGCTTGTGCATAGGTCCTGAGGTAGGGCGCAGCCCACTGTGTTTAAGGAACAGTGAGGACATCAGTGTGACTGGAGCCAAGTGAGTGACGGGGAGGGGGCTGGAGGTGAGGATGAAGAGAGAAGAGTAGTGTGAGTTGTGCAGGGCTTTGTGGGTCACCGGGAGCACTTGGCTTTGATCCTGAAGGAGCTGGGAGCCAGGGCAGTGAGAGGAGAGATGGGTGGTCTGGCTTATTGTGTAGCATCCCTGGGCTGCCTGGGTCTGCTGCTTCTGCTGCCTCTGCTTCATACTGTTTCTTCCTATCTCTAGTATTCCAGTTCTCTGTCTCCTGGGTCTAGGCGGAAACTCAGGTCCAAAGGACTCGCTCCACTCCTGGCTCTTGTGGTTGCTTAGGTGGACTCCTGTGTGGTCATGCATTTTATACTTGGCAGGATGACAAAACCCACCAATCCCTTTGTTAGGATTACATATGCCTTACGTTTGTCCTAGCTCCACAAGGGTACTGTGCACCTCATTTACATTATTAGCAAGCTGTCCAATTCCCGTGGTGGGCTGTATGCACCCAATTTGCATAGTCTTACCCAGTCATTTGATGGTAGTTAACAAAGACTATGGCTAGATGGTCATATGATGTAATTTTTTGCTGCTGTTGTTGTTATTAAATGCCATCGAGTCAGTTCTGACCCATAGTGACCCTGTATAGGGTTTCTGAGGAGCAGTTGATGAGTTTGAACCACTGACCTTGTGGTTGAAATTGAACTTATGGTTGAGTGCCTATTCTGTAGTGCTACACAAGACTCTGTCACAAAACCTTAAGGAAAAAGAGCATATAAAACAGCAATTTGTACTGCAGAACTGAATCAGTGAGAGCTGGTTTCCCAGCCAACTCATCTCATCCCCAGTCACCAGCCATCTGTCAGTGGAAGCTCGTGTGTTCCTATGACGCTGAACAGGTTTTAGCAGCGCTTCCAGACTTACGTGGACCAGGAGGGAAAGTCTAGCCGTCTACTTCTGAACATCAGCCAATGAAAAAGCCCTATGGACCACAGCACTCTAAGCCTCTTGTGCATGGGGTCACCATGGTGACCGGAGCTGGCTTGACAGTAGGGAGCCACAGCATTTGAAAGTTGGAGACATCATGTTATTTTACCTCCAGGAACTCCAGCAGGTGTCCCAAGAACAAAGCTGCCCATCTACACACCCTCATCAACCAAACCAAAGCAAACTCACTGCCTATCAAGTCCCTTCTGACTCCTAAGAACCCTCTAGGACAAGGTAGAACTGCCCCAAGGGCTTCCAAGGCTGTAAGTCTTTATGGAAGCAAGCAGCCACATCTTTCTCCCCGGATGCAACTGGTGCGTTCAAACCACCAACCTTTCAGTTGGCAGCTTAGCACTTTAGTCATTGAGCCACCAGGACACCTACCCTACATTGTTGTTGTTAAGTGCCCTTGAGTTGGTTCCAACTCATAGCGATCCTGTATAGGGTGTCCAGGGAGTGGCTGGCAGATTTGAACCACCAACCCTGTGGTTTAAACTGAAATTGCAGTCAAGTGCTTATCCTATAGTGTGGCACCCAACTGCACCCTACAGACCTAGAATATAATGCTCACACGTGGGGTAGTTGACGCTGGACTGTCGTGTGTCATGCTCCCCAGTCAGCCCACTAATGTCCTCTGTAGCTCTTTGGTGCTTGATTCACGCATCACATTTACTTGTCTTCTTTCTTGTTGCTGTGTGCCATTGAAGTTGATTCGACTCATGGCGACCCTAAGGACAAAGTAGAACTGCCCATAAGGTTTCCAAGGCTATTGTTTTATGGGAGCAAATTGCCAGGTCTTTTCTTCCTCAGAACCCACAAGGTGGATTCGAACTGCTTAACTTTTGGTTAGCAGCTGAGCGCCTATCCATTGTACCACCAGGACTGCTGAGGTCTTGTTAGACCCCAAGCCCATTGCCATCAAGTCGATTCTCATATCAACTCTTTAGGACAGAGTTGAAATGTCTCACAAGGTTTCCAGGGTGGTAAATCTTTACTGAAGCGGACTGCTACATCTTTTTGTGCCAAGTGGCTGGCGGCTTAGAACAACCAGCCTTTCAGTTAGTAGTCAAGTGCTTCACCACAGCGTCATCAGGGCTCCTTCATATCTCAGTGCTAGTGGTTAAGTGTCATTGAGTTGGTTCTGACTCACAGCAACCCTGTGAGGAGGAGAAGGTTTCTGAGGAGTGGCTGGTGGATTGGAACCACTTACCTTGCAGTTAACATTCCAGTGTTCATCCTACAGCACCACACCAGGACCCAAGTCCCCTGTTGTTGTGGTTAAGTTCCGTTGAGTCAGTTCTGACTCAGCAACCCTGTATAGGGTTTCCGAGGAGTGGCTAGTGGGTTTGAACCGCCGACCTTGTGGTTCACCGTCCATTGCTTATTCTACAGCACCCCACCAAGAGTCCATGTCTCCCTAGTCCCCTGGAATATAGAAGAGCTTCTTCCTTGTCTAGTTTTAAAGATGAGTCATTTTGCAAACAAACCAGCCTTTACTTTAGATTTATTCAACTGTGGCTTAATCACCAGAATCAGAGTAAACATTTCCAACCCTGCGGGGGGTTTAACACCATTTAGATCCACTGTTGTGCACCTTGCTTTCTCTGCTTCACAATGCGTCTTTGAGCGCTTCCCCTATCAGGATGGAGGAGGGAGTTCCTCATTCCTCTACATGGCTGCATAGTAGTCCATTGAAGGGGACCGTCGGCCAGAATCCAGTCAGTTACCTAGTGGGAGAATATTTAGGTGGTTTCCAGGCTTGGGTGATTTCAAACAATGCTGCTGGGAATTACCTCATAAAGGCACGTTATTTTTCTTCCAAACGGAATGGTCTGTCCCTAGCCCACATTCCTAGATGTGGCTGTTTTTTTTGGATGTGCCAAGGAGTGGCTGGTGGATTTGAACCATGCCATCTCCATTCCTTTGCAAAAGGCTGAGTGCAGTAGAATGTTCCTTTCATCACCCCAGAAAGACGGCTCCTTCCCAGCTGGCCTCTCGTACCGAGAAACCGGCACGCATCTGATTGCTGTTCCCAAAGATTGGTTTTGCCTGTTCTAGAATGCTCACTGTACACTCTGTACTGTTTTTGGCGATGAACTGGTGAAGATAAAAGGAATCATTTTGAAGTGTACAGTCCAGTGGTTAGTGCCTTCACAATGTTATGTAAAAGAAACCTTGGTACCCGTTAGGCAGTCGGGAGCCTTGCTGGTGGTGCAATGGGTAATCACTCAGCAGCTAACCGAGGAGAAAGGTTGAGGTTTCGAACCCACCCAGCAACTCTGAGGAAGAAAGACCTGATGAAACCTGGTGGGGCAGCTCCCCATCCCACGGGCCACTGTGAGGCAAAGTGGACTCAAGGGACCCCAGCAACAACAGAGCAACCACTCCCATCACCCCCAACTCCCCCAGCCCCTCGCAGTTTTAGATCTACTTTCTGTCTCTCCGAGTTTATCTCTTTGAGTGAAGTCCAGCTACTTTTTGGGGGGACTTTTAAACAGAGAAGGGAGTACTGCAAACTGCCCTGCACTCGCTCAGGCTCGACTTCCACAAACATTAGGCATTCACTCCTGGTTCTTGTTCTGAAATTAACTCCTTTGTGCCCTGCTCCCTTGGCTCAGCATGACCCTTTGGAAGAGGGCAGTGGCAGTCCAAGGCTAGAATTCTCACCTCCTATAAGAGAGACCTAGGTTCGATTCTTGGCCAAGATACTGCACACCCTCTGTCCGTGGAGGCTGGCAGATCTCTGCGATGCTACACACGTTTCAGTGGAGCATCCAAACTAAGTTAGACTAGAAAGAAAGACTTGGCCATCAATTTCTGACAGTCAGCCAGTGGAAGCCCTATGGATCACCATGGTCCGACCCTGTTTTGTGGAATCACTGAGTCGGAGGCCACCTTGAAGGCAGTTAGCCACACAAGTCTGACACTCATCCACGCCGCTGTGCGTCAGCTGGTAAGTGCCATCAAGTTGGTTCCGACGACTCATAGCAACCGTGTAGCCAACTCCTTTTTTATCATCAAGAAAGACCCCACCATGGACCACCTCCCAGCATTTGTGATAACGCATTTTGGCCCTTTCTGTAAATTTTTGGTGTAGCAGTTGGCAAATGTCTCAGTTCTCTAGTGCTGCTCTAACAGACATACCACAAGGTGGTGACTTCAGCAAGCAGAAGGTTATTTTCTGACAGTTTAGGAGGCTAGCAGTGTGAATTAAGGGCAGCGGTTCTAGGGGAAGGCTCTCTCTCACTTTTGATCTCAGGTTGACGCCTCTAAGGGGTGCACACTTCCCTGCTGCACCTTACTGTTCAACGTACAGGACTGTGTTTTGCTTGGCTGAAAGTTGAACCACTGGGGCAATAGGTTTTTATTAATTTTTTAACTTAAAAAAAAAAAAATCAAACTTATAAGAAGATTGAGAGAATAAGATTATGAAGAACATCTTTAGCCCCTTCTCCAGAGTCACCTGTTTTAACAATTTGTCCCGTTCACTGTGGGATTTGTGTGCGCACACACATACTTTTTCTCACCTCTCTCATTCTTTCTAAATGTGTGTGTATAGTGTGTGCACTGGATTGTAAGGCCAGTTTGATGGGGAGATGTTCTTTAAAGAGCATTTTGGGGACAGTTGGAGAAACTGGAAAATGGACCTTTTGTTCTGTACAGTAGTTTCCAGCTGATGATGGGGTTTTGTTCTGATGACTCTGTTGTAAGTTGGTTTTAACATCAGCCAGATGTCTCTTTTTTCTTTTTTTTTAAGTTTTCATTATTACTGAGTTTTATTTTCAGAATTTGTAAACCTGATCTTTGTCGTTGGAGATTGGCATGAGAATGATAACTTCAGCAAAATGCCTGCTGTAACACTGTATGTAGTACCCATTACTGATTATAAGCTGTAACAAAAGAACAGGGTCGCAAGTGGAGTTCAGTGTAACTTGACTGCGTCCTAGGCCAGGAAGTACCTGTCCTATGGAATCAATGTTAGATGTCCAGGAGGTGGTCATTCTTGGCCTCAGAACAAAGCCTGACTCACAGCGACTCTCTGGGACTGAATAGAAGGCCCCACGGGGTTTCCAAGGCTGTCAGTCATTACAGAAGCAGACCACCTCATCTTTCTCCCCTGAAGCAGCTGATGGGCTGAAACCTACACCTTTTGATTAATAACCAAGTATTTAACCATTGTGCAGCGAGGGCTGCTTCCCAGAAAAATTCCAAACCAAAGTCAATCCCGCCATCATCTTGTTGATTTAACTCATCAGGAGGGACCCTATGGGATAGAGGAGAGCGTCTCCTTAGGGTTTCTAAGACTGTAAATCTTAATGGGAATAGACAGCCTCACCTTTCTTCTGCAGAGCAGTTGGTAGGTCTAAGCAGCCAACCTGGCAGTTAGCAGCCTAACACTCAACCCTCTGTACCACCAGGGATCTTCCATAAAATGTACAGCCAAGAAGGCTCTTTGGGACAGTTCTGCTCTGTCAGGTGGGGTCCGCAGAAGTTGGGATGTGCTTGATAATACACAACAACAATAAAATAAGTTTGTGATCGCGAGTGAGGGTAGAGAGTATGTGGCACAGGGGATGAGGGGGCCCCACTTGAGCATGTGACAAAAGGGAATGGATGTAATTATATTAATTCGTAGTTATTGAGCATCTGGAATGTGTCAGGGCACCCTGTGAGCACGCAGGCTTGTGTTAATCTTCAGCCACTTCAAAGAATTAAAAGGCTCCTGGTCACGGTAGGTGCACAGGAGACCATTGAGAAGACAGGGGAAAGGGGTGTCTGGTCGGAACCCTCACTCAGCCCCAGCTTGTCCAGCAGGATGGATGGCAAGCGGCGGCCAGCCCCGGGAAGCGGGATGCCCCCAAAGCGGGCCCGTGGGGGCCTCTGGGACGAGGATGACACGCCCCGGCCATCTCAGTTTGAAGAGGAGTTGGCGCTGATGGAGGAATTGGAGGCAGAGTGCAGGCTACAGGAGCAGGAGGAAGAGGAGCTACAGTCGGCCGCCCAGCGGGCTGTGGATGGTAAGACTGGCAGCGGGAACCCCCTGCACGCCCCTCATCTTGCCTCAGAGCTGCAGAGCTGGCCTGTAATCTGACCCCTGACCTCTGACCTCTGATCTACTTCAGGCCCCATGAGTGGCTGACTTTTGACCTCTTTGGCAGTATGTGACCTCTGCTACCTGCAGCCTCTGTCCTGACCCTCCAGTACCTTCAAGTTTCCCTGTCCAGTCCTGACCACCTTCAGCTGACTTTTGTTTCCACACTGGACACCTCTGAGGGTTCATGGTCAGGAAGGGAGCAGAGCTCATTTCTAAGGGGAACCATGACTCCATGTACCCCCACCTCTCTCTCCTTGTCCAGGGCAGTTCTCCGAATCAGCTGTAGATCCTCGCTGGCGTCGGCCTTCCCCACCGCCCCTGGATCCCCAGATGGAGCCCCTCATCTTTCAGCAGTTAGAGATTGACCATTACGTGGGTGAGTCTGGAGGATGGGGGTGGAAGGGAGGATCCCCTCTGGCTCTACCTTCTCGGGTGATGTTATGGATTGAATTATGACCCTGGGAGATGTGTGTTGGAAATCCTAACCCTATACCTGTCTGTGGGAGCAGGGTGGCTCTGTAGGATAAGCAAGGTACTGCAAACCAGAGTTGATCGGTGTTTCCAGCCCACCAGCCACCCTGCAGGAGAAGGATCAGGTTTTCTGCTCCTGCAAAGAGGGCCAGTTGCTATGAGTCAGAACCACCTTGACAGTACCTAACAACAACAATATACCTGTGGTTAAGGGGCACTGGTGGCACAGTGGCTAAGGAGCTGGGCTCCACACTCACCAGTCCACAGTTAAAACCCACCAGCCGCTCTGAGGGAGAAAGACAAGGCAGTCTGCGTCTGTATAGATTTCTAGCCTTGGAAGCTATGGGGCAGTTGACTCTGTTCCCTTGGGTTGCTGTGAGTTCGAATCCACTGGCTGGCGGCACGTGTGTTTGGTTCCTTAGCTCCCAGCTGTGCATCTCTTCCTCCTCACAGGCCACCTTCTGTCTGAATGTCTTTCTGTCCTGTTGTAAAGACACCATGCCCCTTCGATTAGGACCCACCGTACTTTGTGTGCCCTCTTGTGAACTGTCACATCCCCACGACACTGTTTTCAAACAAGGGCACGTTCACATTCACGGTTCACAGGAGTCGGATGCAGTGGATATTTTGGGGGATGCTGTTCCATTCATCGACAATGGTGGTTCAGTGGTAGAATCCTGCCCTGCTATGTGGGAGACCCCAGTTTGATTCCCAGCCAAAGTGTCTCATGCACCACCCTTTCGTCCGTGGAGGCCTGCGAGTTCTGTAGCTTCCAGGCTAGGATGAAATGCCTGGAGGTCTGCTTCTGAAAGTTAAAAGTCAGCCCCAGGGAGTCCTTGGAGCACCATGGACAGCGTCAAGTCTGTGACCAGTCACAGGCTGGCACGGGACTGGGCACTGTTTCATTCCACTGTATACGGTCCTTGTCAGCGGTTGGGGTGGCAGCTTACAGGACTTTTAAACCTGCAGTGGACATGGTGTGAGTGAGACAACACACTCAGAAGGCAGCGTGCTGGGTGGCTTCGTGTTAACGTGACATTCTGCCCTGTGACCCACAGGCCCAGCCCGGACCCTCCCTCTTCCTGGAACACCCCCAGCCTCCCGCGGCTCTGTGCCTGTGCTCCGTGCCTTCGGGGTCACCGACTCCGGTGTCTCTGTCTGCTGCCACATCCATGGTTTTGCGCCCTACTTCTATGCCCCAGCGGTCCCTGGTGAGTGGCCACCTGCACCCTTCGCCATCTGTGTGGAGGCCCCTTGACTGGTGACTACCCCCTTTGCCCCCCTAGGTTTCGGGCCTGAGCACTTAGCTGAGCTGCAGCAGGAGCTGAGCAGCGCCATCAGCCGGGACCACCGGGGTGGGAAGGAGCTCACAGGACCCCCCGTCCTGGCGGTGGAACTCTGCACCCGTGAGAGTGAGTGCTGGCCTCAGGGATGGGCTGTGCGGGGCTGAGGGTCCGGGTCTCAGACTCAGTGTCTCTGCATGTGGCTCAATGTGTGGCTCTGTGTGTATATGTCTGTGTGTCCTCGCAGGCATGTTCGGGTACCATGGGCACGGCCCCTCCTCATTCCTGCGCATCACGCTGGCCCTGCCTCGCCTCATGGCTCCTGCCCGCCGCCTCCTGGAGCAAGGCATCCGTGTGTCGGGCCTGGGTACCCCCAGCTTCGCGCCCTACGAGGCCAATGTGGACTTTGAGATCCGGTACAGCCCACCTGCCCACTCCCTTTGTTCTGTCACCCCCTCCCCACTCTGTCAGCCTCTGCCCACTCACCCCCACCCTACCCCCTGCAGGTTCATGGTGGACGCGGACATCGTTGGCTGTAATTGGCTGGAGCTCCCGCCAGGGAAATATATCCTGAGGCCCCAGGAGAAGGTACACTAGAGTCTAGACGGGGGCTCCTGGGAGGTGCTGGGACGCTGCTGTTGACGCACTGACTCCACCCCCAGGTCACGCTGTGTCAGCTGGAAGCGGACGTGCTGTGGTCTGACGTGGTCAGTCATCCCCCAGAAGGACCTTGGCAGCGGATCGCACCCTTGCGTGTACTCAGCTTTGACATCGAGTGTGCTGGCCGCAAAGGTTCGTTCCAGCTTGGAGCTGCTCCCCGCCCTGCCTCAGTGAAGGGCTCTCTGGGGGAGAGGGAGGGCACAGTCCAGCAGGATCGGCCGAGGCCCGTTTCCCTGGGGAAGAGCAAGGCAGACGTGGGGAGGACGTTCCCAAAGGCAGAACAAGAGCAAAGGCCCAGGGGTGGATTGTCAGGGGTGGTGGTGGGTGTGTGCGTGTGTGTGAATTGTTGGGCTTTGGGGAGTCCCCAGAATTGTGTAGGGATATGTGTTCAGGACCCGTAGGCCTGTGTGGAGACCAGATAGAGAGTACAGGGGAGACCAGGTGGGCCCTATTGGCCAGGTTTCAAGGTAGCCAACCTGTGTGTCGTTGAGGGGAGGAGTCAGCATCTCTGTGGCATCCCTGCGCTCTCCTCCCCACAACAGGCATCTTTCCTGAGCCGGAACGGGACCCTGTGATCCAGATCTGCTCACTGGGCCTGCGCTGGGGTGAGCCTGAGCCCTTCCTGCGTCTGGCGCTCACCCTGAAGCCCTGCGCCCCGATCCTGGGTGCCAAGGTGCAGAGCTACGAGAGCGAGGAGGAGTTGCTCCAGGTGTCTATCCTCCCTGCCCCCACCAATCCCAAGTGGAGGGTACTGGATCCTTGCATATTGAAGGGACATTTTCCAAAATGCTAGCCCCACCTTACCACTGTGGGCAGGAAGGCTGCTCTTGGTGGCTTCTAGAACATTCCAGCAATGGGGAAGTCCATGGCAGGAGTATGCTTTCAGTGACCCAGGGTGCTTCCACCCTCCAGGCCTGGTCCAGCTTCATCCAAGCCATGGATCCTGACGTGATCACGGGCTACAACATCCAGAACTTCGACCTTCCCTACCTCATCTCCCGGGCCCAGACCCTCAAGGTGAGGGCAGAGGGTTGGGGAAGAGGTTCCTCAGGGCTCTGTCTACCGCCAGCCCCTTCCCTCCCAACTGCAGACAACATCCTGGAAACCCAGTTCTGCGCCTGCCCCACCTGCTCCAGGTCCAAATAGTCTCTGCTGCTTTTGTCTGAGGCATTGCATGACAGCTGAGTCCCAGGGTGTGAACTGAGGCGTGTCGGGGTGTGGTGACCCATCTTTAAATATGTCAACGAAGCATAAGAATGTCATGATACTTGTGAATCTGGGTTTGGGGATGTGTTATTTTCCAGGAGCCCTGATGGCACAGGGGTTAAGCATTGGGCTGCTAATCAAAGGTCAGTGGTTGGAGTTTACTAGTTGCCGCCTAGGCGAAAGATGAGGCAATCTGATTCCGTAGTGATTTGCAGCCTCGGGACCCTGTGAGGTAGTTCGGCTCTGTCCTGTAGACTCGTTGTGATTTGGAACCCACGCAGTGACAGTGGCATTGGCCAGTTCTGTACTAAACTCTCACGCCTCCTGTGTAAGTTTCCTGTCGTTGGTGCCTTCAAGTCAATTCCCACTCGGAGCAACCCCATGTGTAGAGAGTAGAACTCCCCAGGGGTTTTTTAGGCTGTGGTCTTTCCAGGAGCAGACCGCTAAGCCTTTTTCCAACAGAGCCTGTGGGTGGGTGGGTGGGTGGGAGCCCTTAGGTAGCGACTGAGCACTGTGCCGCACCTCTGGACTCTCCAGGGTTGCCAGGACAACCAGCACACAGCCCCACTTCCGGTGAGGCCGGCCCCACTCAGCAACTCTAGACAGAGTAGGGCGCCGTGAGAGCCCTGAGGCTGTCAGTTTCTCTCGCTGAGCGGCTGGTGTGTTTGAACCACCAACCATGTGCTTATCAGCTCAGTGTTGGTGGTATAAAACAATTGAATTCACACCTTGCCCTTCTGGAGGCTGGAAGGTGGAGAGCAGGATGTTGGCGATGCCAATTCCTCAGAGGCACTGAGAGAGGCCTAGGGCAGCCAGTGGTCCTTGACCTGCCCCTGCTGACCCCTGCCTGAGCTGCTCCCCTTGGAGTCTCACCCCACCTTCTCCCTGGCCAAGATTCTGCCGCCTCCAGGTCACTCCCACAGGCCCAGCAGGATCTTAACCCCAGAGCCACCCCACCCTGCTGTGCTCCCACCAGGAGGGGCTGCTGTTGGGGGCGTTGGGGTTGATGTTGGTCCCTCTGTCTGAGCGACTGGTCCACATCGAGTCCACCCCTGGGTTTCCCTGCCAGGTGCATAACTTCCCTTTCCTGGGTCGAGTGTCTGGGCTCCGCTCCACCATCCGCGACTCATCCTTTCAGTCGAAGCAGACGGGGCGGCGAGACAGCAAGGTGGTCAGCATGGTGGGCCGTGTGCAGATGGACATGCTGCAGGTAAGGCATCAGGTGGGCTGCCCTGGTCCCCGCTCCCCACGCGGTCCAGCTGTGTATTCCGGGCCCACGCCCACTGTACTCTCCGCCCGGCCCAGGTACTGCTGCGGGAATACAAGCTGCGCTCCTACACGCTCAACGCCGTGAGCTTCCACTTCCTGGGCGAGCAGAAGGAGGACGTGCAGCACAGTATCATCACAGACCTGCAGGTACCGCCCTCGACCCCGCCCCTGCCACGCCCCCTCCTCAGACCTCGGTGGTGTACCGGGGCACTGACCGTTGTCTGTACCCCCAGAATGGGAACGAGCAGACGCGCCGCCGCCTAGCTGTGTACTGCCTCAAGGACGCCTTCCTGCCGCTGCGGCTGCTCGAGCGCCTCATGGTGCTGGTCAACGCCGTGGAGATGGCGCGTGTCACTGGCGTGCCCCTTGGCTATCTGCTCAGCCGCGGCCAGCAGGTCAAGGTGGTATCCCAGCTGCTTCGGCAGGTCAGTGGTCCTCCCATCCTTCCAGGCCTGCTGGGCTCCCTGGCCACAGCATCTGGGTATCCCCTCCCCTGTGTCTCCGCCTACCAGACCTTCGTCTTTGCAGGCCATGCGCCAGGCACTGGTGATGCCGGTGGTGAAAACCGAGGGAGGTGAAGACTACACTGGCGCCACGGTCATCGAGCCGCTCAAAGGGTGAGACTCCGCCCCGGGACGGGGCGGGGGGACGGGGCAGGTCCCAGCCTGACTCCTCCCCTCACACCTCCTAGGTACTATGATGTGCCCATTGCTACCCTGGACTTCTCCTCACTGTACCCGTCCATCATGATGGCCCACAATCTGTGCTACACCACTCTGCTGAGGCCCGGTGCTGCCCAGAAACTGGGGTAGAGATACCCCGAGGCCACCCCCTAGGAGCTCCCAATCTAGGGGGGGGTGCAGAAAGTGAGGGAGGGGGAGATGGAAGAGCCTAAGCCAGCTCACAGTGAGGCAGGGGTGGAGGGAGGAGGGAGAGGCCAAGGTGGTCATGTCCCAACCACCTCTACGCCCCAGCCTGACCTCAGAGCAGTTCATCAAGACGCCCACCGGGGACGAGTTTGTGAAGACGTCGGTGCGGAAGGGGCTACTGCCACAGATTCTGGAGAACCTGCTCAGCGCCCGGAAAAGGTAGTCTCCTGGGCTCCCTGCCCGAGGCTCCTTAGTCCCCACATCAGCCAAGTTACCACACTCACCTGCCTCTCTGTGTGACTTAGAGAAAGACACTTTTTGTAGGTGGCCCAGGGTACCATGTGGGGCTGATTTTTGTCCTCGCGCCCCATCACAGAGCCAAGGCAGAGCTAGCCAAGGAGACAGACCCCCTGCGCCGACAGGTCCTGGATGGGCGGCAGCTGGCGCTGAAGGTGAGCGCCAACTCCGTGTACGGCTTCACCGGCGCTCAGGTGGGCAAGCTACCATGCCTGGAGATCTCACAGGTGAGCGCTGGGACCCAGCATGAGCTTTCCACTGTCCTCCTGTCCTCCCGGAAGTTTTACAAACAGTATGACAGCACGCAAGCAGTGCCCTCTTGGCTTTACCTCCCCTGGGCCCTCGCGCCCTCTTCTCTGCCCTGGGTGTCTCTTCTCTCTCGGTTCCCTCCCTCTGACTCTGTGCTGTTTCTCTCTCAGGCCTCCTTCCTTATTTCTGTCTTAAGCTTACAGGGATAAAACGCAAACCAAACCGCCTGCCATGAAGTTAGTTATGTAACTCATAGTAACTGTACAAGATGGAGTGGGAGTGCCCATAGAGTTTCTGAGTCTGCAGCAGACTGCCACTTCTTTCTCCCTTGGAGTGGTTAGTGAGTTTGAACTTCCGACCTTTCAGTTAGCTGCTGAGCCCTCTAACCACTGTCCCACCAGGGCTCCTATAGGTATTGGTGGACAGAACAATAAAAATAATAAAACCACCAACAACCTTTCTAGAAAAAAGGAAAAAAACCAACCTCGGACAGGTGGCACAAATATAAGTAAGACAGTAGACTTAAGCCTGAACATGTCAGTTACTGGACTAACTGCTTTACTCAAAAAACAGGTATTCTCACTAGATACAAACAAAACCCAAAGAATTGTATCTGTCTTCCTCCCTAGCCTCAGTTTGCTCAGTTGGAAAGGGATTATTATATTTCAGGGGAAGGGCAACATCTGAAAGTGCATGGAGTCATTTCTGGTTGTCTGGGGCTGAGGGGTGTGGCACTACTACAGAGGGGCTGGGAATGTCCAGGGTCCTGCGTCAAGGACAGCTGCCCCTCTCAGGCTATCACGAAGGCCTTTTCTGACTCAGATCTTTCTGACACTTGTTCCAACCCATTCCTTATCTGCGCCCCAGCCATCCTCTCTGTACCCAGAGCTCTAGGCCAGGGAACCCAACGGACCTTTAAAGAGCAGCCAGCCTAGTTGCCTCATTTTGCATTTTTGGAAAACGAGGTGGGGTCCTGAGAGCCCGCACCCATTGCAGAGGCCCTGGCTCTTCACTCTTTGTGATTTCTTGCAGAGCGTCACTGGGTTTGGGCGCCAGATGATAGAGAAAACAAAGCAACTGGTGGAGTCCAAGTACACGGTGGAGAATGGCTACAGTGCCGATGCCAAGGTTAGGCTGGTGAGGGTGTCCCACCTACCTGCTCTCCCACTGAGTCCTAGGGGATGGCAGAAAGGTGTACGTCCCTGGGACACTCACCTTCTCTGGTGCCCTGCCTCCCAGGTGGTATACGGCGACACCGACTCTGTCATGTGCCGATTTGGTGTTTCCTCGGTGGCCGAGGCCATGACTCTAGGGCGGGAGGCTGCTGACTGGGTGTCGGGCCATTTCCCCCAGCCCATCCGGCTGGAGTTTGAAAAGGTAAGTGTGTTGAGTTGGCCATGTGTGGTGGGGGGGTTTTGCCAGTTTGAGACCAGGACAAGAGGTTAGGGTGGGAAGTCTCCAATTTTCAATGCCCCTTCAAAATGTAAGAATGTATTTGTTTGGGGATTCTGTTATATGTCAGCATCAGGGGGGAGCCTAGACATTGCTCAGAGTCTCTTCATTTTGGGGTTTCCTAATTGGGGTACCCCTCAGGTTCATACACCCAAGTTTCAAGGTGTTCTGTTACCTCGGTCTTCCGGGCTGCAGCTTGTCTCGTGTACTGAGTGCTGCCTTAGCAAGTGCAGTGTGCCCCGGCGGTGCTTCCATGCACAGCTCTCTACGTCCAAACCAGGGTCTCAGCTGTGTCCCTTCCCTTCTAGGGGCCTCTCTCCTCGTTTCTGGTGACTGCTAGTGACCCTTGGGGTCCCTTTGCTTCCTGTTGATGCAGCTGTCTCTGTCTTCACATGGCATCTGTCTTCCTGTGTGTGTGTGTGTGTGTGTGTGTGTGTCTCTCTCTCTGTCTGCCTCTGTATCTATTCTACACCATTCAGAAGGGATTCGGTTTAGGACCCAGCCTGCTCCCTGCTCCTTATGCCCTTAATGAATGTCACAGAAGAAAACCTGTCTTCACACAAGGGACAAGGTTAGGACCGCCACATGTCTTTCATGTGTGTGTGTATGTGTATAATTTGAGTCACGTTGTTGGAGGAGAATATTAAAAATACCATGGACTGCCAGAAGAACAAACAAATCTGGGTTGGAAGAAGTGTAGCCAGAGTGCTCCTTAGAAGCCAGAATGGCCAGACTTTATTTCTCATACTTAGGACATGTTGTCGGGAGGGACCGGTCCCTGGAGAAGGACATCACGCTGGGTAAAGTGGAGGGTCAGTGCAAAAGCTGAGATGGACAGACACTGGGGCAGCAGCAATGGGCTTAAGTGTAACACCAGCTGTGAGGACGGCGCAGGACCGCGCAGTGTGTTGTTCTGTTGGATACAGTGTCACTTTGAGTCAGAGCTGACTTGATGGCACCTAACAACAGCAACTATATAGATCTGTTGTTCTTGTTAAGTGTTGTCAAGTTGGTTTCAACTCATAACGACCCTGAAATAGGGGTTCTGAGGAGCAGCTGGTGGGTTTGAACTGCTGACCTTGTGTTCACAGCCCAGTGCTGACCATGTAGTGTCACACCAGGAGTCCATATATATCTCTGTATACATATTGAGTGCCGACGTGTCAGTTCTGACTCATAGAGACCCTGTATAGGGTTTCCAAAGCTGTAAATCTCTGCAGGAGCAGAAAGCCTCATCTTTCTCCTTCTAAGCGGCTGATGGGCTCGAGCCGCTGATTTTGCGGTTCACAGTCCAACAAATTCTTATCCTACAGAATCACAGTGCTCTTCTATACAGGCAGACCTCAGGGGTACTGTGAGGTCAGCCCCTGACCGACGTAATAATCAAGCGAGTCACACAGAATTTTTGGTTTCCCGATGTGCATTAAAGCTATGTTCACATGTGACTGTGTTCTATGAAGTGGACAACAAACACAGTGAAAATGGTCACAACCTCGTGAGAATGGTCCAAACTTGACCCAGCGACAGAAAGTGAGCCCACATTGCTACAAAAAGGGTGCCAGTGGACTTGACCAGAGCAGGGTCGCTGTGCACCTTCCGTTGGTGAAGATTCCGTATCTGTGACGTGCAGTGCTAGGGATGCCGTACAAAGTGTTTGGTTCCGCAGTATACGTACAACAAAATGTCAACTGCTTCATCAGTTTCTACTGACACATCTCAGTGACACTGAAGGCATTCTTCAGCTTGTATAGCCATTCTTGGTATGTTGGCCCAAACCTGATTATCCCACCACCATGAACATCCATGTGTGCTAAGCAGTGTACCATCAGTTCCCTGTATTTACCTCTAGTCACCGTCACTCCTGTACTCCGTCCTGTGTCTCCTGCTGCCTTCATCTTTCCTCTACCAACCTCCCTCTTGTATACATGTGTCTACCCTCTAGCCCATGAATAACTTCCTCCCCGCCCCCACAACCATCATAGACTGTTCCTTTTATCAAGAAAACCTTTTCTAAACTTTCTACATTGGACTCAATATATTTGTCCTTTTGTGATTGACTAATTTCACTTAGCAAAATGTCCCTCCAGGTTCATCCACGTTATGAGGTGTTTCGCAGATTCACCCTTTAACTCTGCACTGCTGTGTAGTATATTCCATTGTGTGTATGTTTAATCATTGTGTTGTTGATGGGCGTTAGGCTGTCTCCATCTTTTTGATGTGTCCATTGTAGACAGCATATGGAAGGGCTCTGTGTTCTTATCCATTCTGCTCTGTCTCCTGACTGGTGCATTTTAATCCGCTTACATTCAGTGTAATTATCACTAGTTCTGAAATGATTGCTGTCATTTTGTGTGTGTTTTGTGGTGCTTCTGCTTTCTTGGCTCCACATAATTCTCTGCTTGAGTTCATTTTTATGGGTTTTCTTTTCATTTTCATTTGTGTTATGTTAATGTTTACGAAATCTTTCTGATTTTTGTCTTTTTGTGTCTGGCTTCTTTCGCTCAGCATAAGTGTCCACAGTTCGTCTGTGGTGTGGCATGCTTCAGGACGTCATTTCTCGTTAAGACCGAGTCATATTCCTTCGCATATATAGAACACAGTCAGTCCATCTATCTGTTGGTCAACATTTCAGCTGTTTCCACTTCCTGGCTCTTGTGAACCATACTGCAGTGAACACTGACACACACCTGTCTTGTTAGGGGACATGATTCAACCCTTAACAGGGGCCTTGGTTTTGGAAACATCTAGAATCCTGGATTTGGCAAGACAGGATCGTGTGAATCCCTGCTCAGAGTCTCTCCCCACTTCAAGTTTGTCAATGGCCCTGGGCGGAGGGGCCCTGATGTAGGAATCTATTGGGCCTGGTCATCATAGTCCAGGTCCCCCTCACCACCCACAGACCCTGGGCAATCTCAGACTGACATTCTTTTTCTCAAGATTCAAGTGTAGGATAAAGCCTCCAGCGCAGCCACACGTGGGCTTACAGACCCTCAGGTATAGGGGAGTCTCTTCTCTGATCGGACTTCACTGACCCCCTGTCTGCCTCAGATCTGTTCCACACCCAGATCTGGGGTGCTCTCTGGGTTCCTGCCAGAGCACAGTCCTGGTGGTACTGGGCCTCACTGAAATCGACTGGGCAGTAGTGGGTTTGACTGGGTTGGGTGTGAGCATGGCCCAGGGTTCAGGAGCTGTATGCTGGCAGCACCCTGAGATCTTGGTCCCACCTTAGGCCCATCTCCCCAAGTGTCTGAATCCTGGTTTGGGAACGGCCCCCTCAGGTCTACTTCCCATACCTGCTCATCAGCAAGAAGCGCTATGCCGGCCTCCTCTTCTCCTCCCGCCCGGATGCCCATGACCGGATGGACTGCAAGGGCCTGGAGGCCGTGCGGAGGGACAACTGTCCCCTTGTGGCTAACCTTGTCACTGCCTCACTGCGCCGCCTGCTCATTGATCGGTGAGGGGTGTTACACCCACCCTCCTTCCCCTCTTCCCTCAGATCTGGAGTCCAGCCCCTAGCCCCCTCTTCCTTCAGACCCAGAATCCAGCCCCCAGCCCCCTCTTCCTGGGGACACAGGTGTTGCTCCCCGCCCACCCCGCAGTGGAAAGGGTGGGCAGCTGCCAGCTTAGCACCACCTCTGCTCTGTCACACTGAGGCCCTTCCCAGCTCTGAGTGCCCACCCGACTCCCTGGCCAGAGGATAGAGTATAGGAGGTGCAGCTTCATCCCCTGATGACCCCCTACTCCCCACAGAGACCCAGCCAGCGCCGTAGCGCATGCCCAGGATGTCATCTCGGACTTGCTGTGCAACCGTATCGACATCTCGCAGCTGGTCATCACCAAGGAGCTGACCCGCGCCGCTTCTGACTACGCGGGCAAGCAGGCCCACGTGGAGCTGGCCGAGAGGTCGGCCTGGGCTTGTTGGGGCGCAGACACAGCCTTCCATACCAATGGGGCTGCCACTTCCTGAGAGTCTGGCCACCCCACCTGCCCTTACCCGCACATCGCCCTGTCCCCACAGGATGAGGAAGCGGGACCCCGGGAGCGCGCCTAGCCTGGGCGACCGAGTCCCCTACGTGATCATCGGGGCCGCCAAGGGCGTGGCTGCCTACATGAAGTCTGAGGTCAGCCCCACCTGCTGGGCCTCCCCACCCCTCCCCCCCAGCTCTCACTTCTGCTTTCTGGCTAGGGTGGGGAGGAGGCAGGACCGTTCTTTCTAGGGCCCCATGGGACTCTGGGAACTGACCTCCCCAGACACACCCGGGGTCCCCAGCAGCCTGGGGATGTTCCATGATGCTGTGCTCTCAGCGTCCTCTGCACTCCCCCACCCCCGCATAGAAATGGGTTTCCAGCCCTTTGCCTCTCCCCACCTTAATTTCCAAGCTCTCCCCCGGTGTGCTCCCCTCTGTCTGCCTGGGGTGTGGCTGTACCCCCTCTGTGTCATGACTCCCTCATTCCCTCATCCATACTGTGTAACTGGGTCCCCCTCAATTCTCCTGGCCATTTAGGTCTAGTCTATGACTGGGGCCCCTGGGATGTGCCCCCCTCCCCCCATAACCTTCCCCCTTCCCCGCTGGCCCATAGGACCCTCTGTTCGTGCTAGAGCACAGCCTGCCCATCGACACACAGTACTACCTAGAGCAGCAGCTGGCTAAGCCTCTGCTCCGCATCTTCGAGCCCATCCTGGGCGAGGGACGGGCCGAGGCCGTGCTGCTACGTAAGGGACGGGCACATGGCGGGTTGGGGGAGGAGGTCACTGTCAGGAACCCTGGCCCTCTGACCAGTGTCTGCCCTCGCCCTACAGGGGGGGAGCATACCCGCTGCAAGACAGTGCTCACAGGCAAGGTGGGTGGCCTGCTGGCCTTTGCCAAGCGCCGCAGCAGCTGTATTGGCTGTCGCACCGCACTCGACCACCAGGGTGAGCACCTGAGCTGCCAGGATTGGCCCCCCCACACACACCTTTTGGGCAGGATGTGATGGGGAAGGGGTCCCCTTGATTTGTGCCCACCCGGGATGGTTTGCTCACCCCACCCCGGGACTTCCCCGGGGGAGTTTTCCCCCCACACACTAAATCCCTTGTTCCTGAGCCTCCGGGGACTTTCAGTGGGGCGGGGTAGGAGCAGGGATGGGGGGGCCTGGCCCAGGCCTGACCTCCTCCCCTACCCCCAGGTGCCGTGTGCAAGTTCTGCCGTCCGCGGGAGTCTGAGCTCTATCAGAAGGAGGTGAGGACAGGGGACCTGAGGACACTGGGTGGATGGGTGGGCTGTCTGCCCTGCTCAGCATACCACCCCCTCTCTGTCCATGCAGGTGTCCCACCTGAACGCCCTGGAGGAGCGCTTCTCGCGCCTGTGGACGCAGTGCCAGCGATGCCAGGGCAGCTTGCACGAGGATGTCATCTGTACCAGGTCCCAGGTCCCCCCACAGCACTCTTCTTAGGACCTCCTCGCCCCCCAGACCCTTGAACTGTGACTGGTGGTCCCAGCCCTCCATTCCTACAGCCCCCTTTATTGGGCTTCTGTGCTCTTATATTCTGGGGGTCCCCATCTAGCCCTCCATAAGGAGGTGAGTACCCAGGAGGGCCAGATCTGGCCCCAGGAAATGCTGGGGGTGGCCGCCCTCCTGGATACCCCCACCCCACCCTATGGCCCCCCATCTCCTGGGCGGGGCTGCTTTCCCCAGGGAACGTGTGGGCGGGGCAGGTTCCCACGCCAGGTGACAGGTGATATACGACTGGTGGCCGGCGGGCAGGTACCCACTGTTATCGGCTCCCCGTGCCCGCTGAGCAAACAGCCCAGGGGAGGGGAGCTGGTGTGAGGGGGGCCGCAGGCGGGGCCAAAGTCCTGGGAACAGCCCCTGCCCCCCCACCCCCACCGGTGTTGCTGGGCTGGGCCAGTGCTCCAGGGTCACATGTGCCCACCGGCTGTGACCCTACCATCGTTTCCCCTCCCGCAGTCGGGACTGCCCCATCTTCTACATGCGCAAGAAAGTGCGGAAGGATCTTGAGGAGCAGGAGAAGCTGCTGCGGCGATTTGGACCCCCGGGCCCTGAGGCCTGGTGATCACCCGCTTCCAGCTGCCACGAGGGGGCGCTCAATAAATGCATTATTTTCTTACCTGGGCTTTGTGGTTTCTGGGGAACCAATCTCTTCAGCTGGACTCTTGGGCGCCCCCTCCCATCTTGGTGTAAACCCCCAGTGCTCCAGCTGCCACGGCTACCTCAGTTTCTGTCCCCATGCGTTCCTTGAGTGAACGTCTAAGCCTGCGCCTCTCTGTCCTGCGCAGAGCAGGTGTCAGAGCTGGGGGCCATCTCCCCCTTGTGGCCCCTAGGGTGCTTGGCGGCTGCCCCGCCCACCAGGTGCTGCTTTGGGGCTGCCCCAGGATGGCAGGTTTCCACCCTGGGGTCCGACCAAGTGGACCCTCCCCCCCACGAATGTTTCCACCTGTGGACCTGGGTATTCTTCATGTCCCCTTCTGACACTGGTGGTCCCCGTATCCATCCCTCATGGCTGGTCAACCATGAACTTAGACATCTTGAAGGACACAGGTGCCTGTAAATGCCCCCCAGCACCCTGCTCCCGACTTGCACCCACTTTGGCTGAAGTTTGGCTCCTAGGTCTGGTGCTCCTCACCCTCATGTCCTAATACCCGTCTTCCACTAACTTAGAGACATGGGCTCCCCAGCCTTTCCTGTACTTTTCCAGGGTCCCCCAAGCCCAGCTCTTCACCCATTTCCGCCCCTCAGGGTCAGCCCCCCATCCCAAAATCTAGGCCTGTTCCCACCACGTGATGACCGAGGGGTTGCGCAACTTAGCCCCCTCCCCTGCCTGTCTCCCTGAGGGGAATTTTGAGGAGGGCTCATTTCAGCCACCACCCCTTCTTCCCCCAGGGCTGGGCTGTGGTATAAATAGGGGCGGTGGCTGCAGCGGGCAATCAGCCCAGCCTAGCTAGTGTCACCATGCTCGCCCTGGAGGCTGCACAGTAAGTGTGGGGCCCTGAACCCACTGGACCCTCACCTGGTACTGTCCACTCAGGGAGGAGGGCTACACCACCTTGCCCCTCTAGGTCTTTCCTTCCCATCCTCCTTCCTTATCCTTATTTTCCGTGATCCCCAAAGGTCTCAGTGCCTTGGGACACATGCTCTCTTCTCCCTGTTGTGGGCCTCCATCTCTGCTGGTGTCTTTCCATCTCTCTGTCCTTCACTCTCTGTCTCTGATTCTGGGGCATCCTCCATATCTGGCCATTTCTTTCCTTCTTTCTCTATATTTGCCTGTTTTTTATTTGTCTCTGTCCTCTTCCCAGTTCTCAGAATGTCTCTGCTTATCTCTTCTGCCTCCTCTGTCTCTGTGTCTTATCTTTCTCTTTCCAATTCTCTGCCTCTGTTTCTGTGTGTCTTTGTCTCTGTCTCTCTCACTTTCCATTTTTCTTACTGTGTCTCTCTATCTTCTTTCTTCCTCAGGCTCAATAAATACTTCCTGCATCCATGCCTGCATTTTTTCCCACTTCTCACTCTCCTCTGTCCAAGTATCTCCCCTTCATTTCCTGCCTCCTGTGCCAGGTAGCCTTCCCATTTAATAGGCTGCAAAGCTGAGGCCCCAGTGGCCCCTCTTGGCCAGGCCCCTCGCCACCCCCACCTGCAGTCAACACCTACACCTCCTCTCTGGGGACTTTCTCCCCCTCATTTTTCCTGCCCCCACTAGCCTATGTCTATGCAAATTCGCGGGGGGGGGGGCATTTGCCTGGCGCCCACCTCCCACTTCCTGTCCCAATTCGGAGTAGGGAGAAAGTGGTGGCACAAATATACACAGACAAGCTGCAGTGGGTACAGCTGGTGTTCCCTCTGCCCCCCACCCCCACCCCCACCCACTTCCCCAACCACTGGGAGGCTCAGGTGGCTGGCAGGACCCTGACATGCCCCTACATCTCTCCCCCACCAGGCTCGACGGGCCACACTTCAGCTGTCTGGTGAGTTGGGGCCCCTGGGGGCCAGGGAGGGAGTGGGGACCCATATGGCCCACCAAGACCTCCTTCAGAAGGATCTCTGTCTCCCTGCCTTAGTTTTCCCTTCCACCCCTTCCTGTCACTGTCTTTCTGAATCTCCTTGGTGTCTCTCTGTGAAGTCTGTCTGCTCTGTGTCCATCATTTCTATGCTGCTGATGGATCTCTCTCTCCCCGGGGCTGGGTCTGTTTCCTTGGGTGTGTGTATTATGGTGTATGGTGGATATGTGTTGTGTGGGTGTACAGTGTGTTGTGTTTTGTGTGTTGTCTGTGTATACTGTAGTTTTTGTGTGTAGTGTGTATAGGTTGTTTATGGGGTGTGTATGGCTTATGTGTATTTTTTGTGTGTGTAATGTATGTTGTGTGTGATCTGTGGATAATGTGCATTTTGTGTGTGTGCTGTGTATGAATGTGTACACACACATTGTGTGTGTGTGTGTATGTGTCTTTGCTCTAATTTTGTGTCTCTTTCATCCCACGTTTAACAGATTTATTTCTTACTTTTTTTTTTTTAATTACAAAAAGTGGATGCTGCAGTATTTCAGACATACATACCCAACTCCCAGGAACTTACCACCTCGGTCTGAGAAATAAAACCTTACTGATGTAGGTGTGAGGAACCCTGGTGGCACAGTAATTAAGCATTTGGTGGCTGACCAAATAGTCTGCGGTTCAAACCCACCAGCTGTTCCACAGAAGCGAATCTTTACGGGAAGCTGTCTGCTCCTATAAAGATTTATGGTCTCGGAAATTCTAGGGAGCAGGTTCTACTATGTTCAGTTGGGTTGCTCTGAGTCAGAGTCAACTGGATGGTAGGGGGTTTGGAAGATCTGTCTGCCCCTCCCCATCATAACCTTCTCCCTCCAACTTTATGATGTTTTTCTCTTTATATTACCTTATCATTTACAATCAATCAGCAAAGAGACAAACCCTTGGGCACAGTGTAACTCAGTGAGGTTTTACATATGAATGCACCTGTGTAACCAAAACCAGATAGAACCTCTCCATCCTCTAGAAGATTCCCTCATTTCCCTCCCTGGCTTCCTTCTGTTTTTGAACTTCCTATTAAGTGAACCTTACAGTCTGTTGGCAGTGTAGTGTTCCATCCTACAACTATGCTATTACTGTTGTGTGCCTTATAGCAACCCTCGGGGACCTACTAGAACTGCCTCCGTCAGGTTTTCCAGGCTGTAATCTCTTTAGGCTATAGACTGCCAGGACTTTCTTCTGCTGAGCAGCTGGTGAGTTTGAATTACCAGCCTTTCAGTTAGCAGCTGATTTGTAACCACTGCATCCCCAGGGCTCCGTGCTTTCATTTTTGTCGTTGTTGTTTTGGCTCATGGCGACTCTGTTTACGGTGCCCAAGGAGTAGCTGGTTGGTTTGAACTGTTGGCCTTCTGGTTCGAAGGTCAATGTTCATCCCACAGCACCATATACCAGGATGTTAATTACTAGATGTTAATTACTAAAGCCCTGGTGTGATTCTGTGGGATAAAACACTGGACTGCAAGTTGGTTTGAACCACACAGTTGGCGGTTCAAACTCACCAGTCGCTCCTTGGAAATCCTGTGTAGGGTCGCTATGAGTCGGAACTGACTTGATGGCACTTAGCAATGACAGCAATTACGAAAGCCAGACACCCTAATGACACAGGGGTTAAAGCACTTGGCCAAGGAGCCCTGGTGGTGTAGCAGTTAAAGCACTCAGCTGCTAATCTAAAGGTTAGTGGTTCAAACCCACTGTGGAAGAAAGATGAGGCTGTCTGCTTTCTATAAAGATGACAGCCTTAGAAACGGAGCAGTTCTCTGTCTGGTCCGATTGCTATGAGTTGGAATCGACTCCACGGCATTGAGTTGAATTACTAATGCCACACTCGAGTTCTGGGATGAATCAAAGCACTGTGTAACACTGAGACCCTTCCTTGCAAAAATAACCTCCCCTCTTCAACCTTCCACCCTGCAACCTGTCCCACCTCCTCGGCAGGCAACACAGGACAAATTCTTCCACATTTCCTGGGCACCATGGAGTGCCAACTGCATGTCAGGGACCCAGTGACAGGACGGTCAGCCAGGGCTCTCCGGGAGCCCATGTCTCAGCAGGAGCTTGGTTGCTAGATCTCTGTGGATGTGGATGCTTCTCTCTGTGTCTGTCTCTTCCATTCTGTTTTTCTCCAGCATTATTTTCACCTCTTTTCCCCGTGTGTGTTTCTGTTTCCCTGTCTGTGCGTTTCAATCTCTCTCTCTCTCTCTCTCTCTCTCTCTCTCTCTCTCTCTCTCGCTCAGCAGTTCCTCTTTGCTTCCCTTCCTGTGTCTGTCTCCCCGCTGGTTCAGCGTTGGTGGTGTGGGGGCTCCCTGAAGCTTGGAATGACCTTGCTCCCATCCTACCTTCTTCAGTACTCAGACGGCATCTTCTATGACCTGGACAACTGTAAGCACCCCAGTTACCCGGACACAGAGGGGACTCCTGGTGAGTGACCCACCCCACCCTCCTTCCCTGGGCCCATTTCACAGATGAGGAAGCTGAGGTCCTAGGTGGGGGGGTGGTCATCGCCCAGCTCAACAAGATAGGGATAACCCATGTTTCCTGACCTGACTTCCTCCCCTCCCATCTTCTGTTCCCCCCAACTTCTCCCCACCTCCATGCAAATCCTGGGGTCAGAGATTTGCACAGCCTACAATGACCCTTCTGTGCTGGGGACTTGGGGTGTGTGGGGGCAATGGCCAGGCCTTCTGGTGTATGACTCCCCACCCTGCCCCTCCCACCAGACTCCTTGTGGGGCTGGACCGAGGCTCCACCTGCCCTCTATGAAACCTTCAACCCCACATCGTCCACCTTCAGTCATCCCCAGGCAGTTGCTGCCTGCTATGGACCATCCACCTATAGCCCTGCAGGAGGCCTTGATCTGGTGCCCAACCTAGAGGCCTTGGGGCCCGGGCTCCCAGTGTACCCCACGGAGGACTTTGCCTGCCAGGTAAGGGGCTGGAGGAACCAAAGATTGCCACAATTTGATTGATTGTGTTCACTGGTTGCCAAACACTGTAGTGAACCCATTAATCCTGGTGTGGCGCTGTGGGTTAATGCCCTGAACTGCAAGGTTGGTTTGAACCACAAGGTCAGTGGTTCAAGCTCACCAGTGGCTTCTTGGAAACCCTATACAAGGTAGCTATGAGTTGAAACCGACTTAGCAGCACTTAACACCAACAGTAACATCCTTTTAACAAGGAGGACTGGTAGCATGGTGGATTATGAGCTGGGTTGCTAAGTGCAAGGTCAGCAGTTTGAATCTACCAGTTGCTCTGTGGGAGAGAGATGAGGCTTTTTGTTCCCATAAAGATTTGAAGCCTTGGAAACCTTATATAGGGTCATTATGAGTCAGAACCGATTCTATGGCATTTAACACCAACTAAGCAAAAGGTGTTCCAGAAGGAAGTCCTGGGAATCGGCTTCTAAATGGTCACAGCCAAGAAAACCTTATGGAGTACAGTTCTACTCTGCACACATGGGGTCTCCATGAGTCGGAATTGAGTTCAAGGCAACAAACTACAGCAACATGACCCCATTGCACAAATAAGACACACACACACACCCCGCCCCTGTGGCACTGACAAGAAATCCGAATGACTTCGTCTGCCTTCACCTGTGTTAAGGTGAGGTGCTGTGGGTTAATGTGCTGGACTGCAAAGTCGGTTTGAACCACAAGGTCGGCAGTTCAAGCTCACCAGCCACACTTTGGAAACCCTATACAGGGTCGCTGTGGGTTGGAACGAACTCATTGGCACTTAACACCACCACCTGTGTTAAACCTGTGTTCCTGGATGTACCTTGGGCGCCCCCTGGTGACAACATGGGGATGGGAACTCACAACTAAAATGGAGAAGAGGGCCATGTGAGAGGGTGAGGGAAGGAAAGACGGCTCCCCTCCTCCAGGATGTCTGAGTTACACTGACCTTTCGCAGACCTTGGGTCCCCCGGCGGCAGCCTATGCCCCGTACCCCAGCCCTGTGCAGTCTGAGGAGGAGGATTTTGTGCTGAACAGCCCTGCTCTGGAAGTGTCAGACAGCGAGTCCTCGGATGAGGCCCTCCTAACCGGCAGTGCTGATGGGAGGGGACCCGACGCAGGTATGTGGGAGCCCGTGGGGTGGGGGTGGAGCTCCAGCTGTGGCTTGAGGGAAGGAATGGAAGGGACTATGGCTTCATCAATTCCCTGAAGCACCACTTGCCGGCTGTGTACCCTTCTGGGCCTCTGGTTCTTGTCTGTACCATGTACAGATGGTTGTATGTACAGCCAGTGTCTACCCTCAATAAGGTCGGTGGGAAGATTACGTGGGATATTGTGGTTGTTAGGTCCCCATGGCAATCCCATATGACAGAGTAGAACCGCCCCATAAGATTTTCTCGGCTGTGATTTTCACAAGAGCACATCACCAGTTCTTTCTCCTGCAGAGCTGCTGGTGGGTTTGAATAACCAGGCTTTGAGTTAGCAGACACCCAGGGACTCTTGGGAAATGGGATCCCAGTACTTGGCATTGAGTCCACAATAAGTTCAGCCTGGCAGCCTTCACCAGCATGATCGAATGGAGTTTTTCCAGGAACGTTTTAAAGCCCTGAGCATATAATGTTAATATCCAAATCCATCTATGCAACCTCTGCTTCCAGCCACATGCGCCCACATGCGCCCACTACGTCCCTTATGCTGAGTCCCTTCAGCTCTGAAGCTAGTCCTCAGTTTCCCATCTGTAAAGTGTCTGTTGGTATCATTACCATCATCATCTCTACCTTATGATGAAGATGTTAATTGTTGTCAAGTCAATTCTGTCTCGTGTGTGCACAGTAGAATTGTGCTTCATAGGTTTTAAATGGCTGTCGCCTTTCCGAAGCAGATCACCAGAGGCACCTCTGTGTGGACCTGAACCATCAACCTTTGTGGTTGTAACACTTCATTACTCATTTGCACTATTCAGGGAACACACACATTGTGGCTCATTGCAACCCTCTGTAGGTTTTCTGAGGCTGTAAATCCTGAAGGTAGCAGGAAGACTTATCTTTCTCCAGTGGAGTGGTAGATTTGAACTGCTTATCTTGTGGTTAACAGCCCAACTATGTTACCAGTACTCCTTCACACATAAATTAATTGCATTTTATAGCTAAGGAGATGAAAAGTTCAGAGACGTTAAGTCACCACCCCTAGATCACACCGCTGGGAAATGGCAGAGAAGAGGCTCTTGTATCCAATGAGCTGCTCAGCTCGGGCGGACCCTTGCTGTTCCTAGGAATGCAAGAATCCCACTGGGATTGGGATTCTTGGGGTCACAGACTCAGGGGAACCATTTGCTGGCTGTAGGGGCACAGACCCTCTAAAGACACCTGCTTTGCTTCATTCTCTAGATGGAGAGGCTGAGACTTGGCTTGGGTATCATGGAGTGGAAGTAGGTTGGGCAAGTAGGGCGGGATCTGAGGGACACTCCCTTGATACACCCTATTCCCCGCCCTAGGAACCCGCAAGAAGCTGCGCTTGTACCAGTTCCTGCTGGGGTTACTGACCCGGGGCGACATGCGGGAGTGCGTGTGGTGGGTGGAGCCGGGCGCTGGAGTTTTCCAGTTCTCCTCGAAGCACAAGGAGCTGTTGGCGCGGCGCTGGGGCCAGCAAAAGGGCAACCGCAAGCGCATGACCTACCAGAAGCTGGCGCGCGCCCTGCGCAACTACGCCAAGACCGGAGAGATCCGCAAGGTCAAGCGCAAACTCACCTACCAATTTGACAGTGCGCTCCTGCCAGCTACCCGGCGGGCCTGAGCCCCCATTTGGGGGCTCTCTAGGGTCCCGTGCCCTGCTTGGAGAGCCCAGGAAGTCCCACGCTACCTGTAGAACTGCCTGTGGGGCCACTTGGTGACCTTACACCCGAGCCAGGGCCCCTCTGGGGTTTCTGTGTCACATTGGTGGCCCCATACCCTGGGTCCTGGGGCCCATGGACCCCACACTGGGAGGAATGGGGTTCCCGGCATTCCCCACTTGTGTCTGGGGCCCCGCTGGGAATCCCCATTTTCTAGTCCAGGGTCCCATGTCTTGAGTAACGGGACCCAGAGACCATTGTGGGTTGGGGAGGCAGCGCTGGGGGGACAGTGAGCTTCCAGCAATCCTGTATCCATGAGAGCTTCTTTGGGCTCTCCCAAACAGACCTGGGGTCTCCCAAACAGACCCCTCTGAGATCTTGTGTGTGTGTGCAACCCCGCAATCACATCTGAGGAGGATCTCCCCACTACACACCCATCTGACCTGTAGCTACCAACCCTAAGCCCTGTGCAAACCCCTCCTCTTTTCTGGGATGTCCTTGTCATGTCTGGATCCCTCTCATCAGATCTGATATTTTTCAGTTATGTCTGGGAATCCCTTATCATGACTCAACCCATCTAAAACCACTTGTCATATGTGCCCTCCCCCCAAGTCCCCTTGTCAACTTTTCCATGTCCTGGAACCACCCTGTGATCATTTCATCGTGTCTGGAACTCTCCAATCACATTGAAGGTCCCTTTGGGATCATCTAATCTGAAATCACCCTTGTTGGATCTGAGGGGACCTCAGTGAACTTCATCGTATTTGTGGTCCTATAGTCAACATTTGAACACATCCTCCATGAGATCCCCATCAGATATGTCCATCTGGGGACCTCACTGGCTACTCTGAGTTCTTGTGGGGACTCGACCTCTTTGGGATGCCCTCCTTACCAGCAAGCACATTGGTAGCCGCTCACCTGATTTCTGGGTGATCTTGTCCCCCCGGCCCCCATTTAATTTCTACCTGATGTACCAAGCTGGAAGATGTCCCAGGGCAAACCAGACCCCTGGTGGCGGTCTCTTTTGGTTAATACTGTGTGTTTTGCAGTGGGAGACAATCCAAATTAGCCAACATTCTAAAATGGTGAATTTATAGACTACCGATTTCTGGCTTCACTTCAAACTGTGGTTGATCCAGCGATGGCCTGCCCAGTTTGGCTGTGTGGAACCAGTCTGTGCCCTTTTTGATGGATATGTGCTCTGCATTCGGTCCCCACCACCCAAGGCTCTCTGCCACCGTATGTGTCACTCAGTTGCCTGTTGGGCCCTTGGTGTACACTCAATTGGAAATCAAGTCTAGATGAACCGTGGGAACTCTGGTTGGAACCACAGGGCGGCAGGGGTGGTGGTTAGAAGCTGTAGGCGAAAAGTCCTTGAGTCTCGGGGGTGGGGATGGGAGTCCAGTCAAATGACTTGCTGCTTCTGCTTCCTGCCTGGGGAACCCCAGAAGCCTCTTGGGGATCTCATGCCCCAGCTGGGGCCCCTCTGGGGTTCCTGTGTCACATTGGTTTCCCCACACCCCAGGTGCTACAGTGTGTGGACCCTACACTAGGGAAAGAGGTTTCTGTAATTCCTAAGTCTTGCCCAGTGCCCTCCTGGGCTCCTTCACTTGTGTCTGGGACCTCAGTTTGACCCAATGGGGAGAAGAGGAGCAAGATCTATTGCAGCCCAATTAAGTGTTTGATAACCCACTGCCTTCCAGTCTATTTCAATTCATAATGACCCTGTAGGGCACCATAGAACTACCCCATAGGGTTTCCAAGGCTGTAAACCTTACCTTTCTCCTGTGGAGTGCGTAGTGGGTTGGAGCCATCAAACCTTTTGGTTAGCAAATCAATGCTTTACCTATGGTGTCACGAGTACTCCTTAAGCTTTTGATACCCCATCAGTGACCAAGAAGAAGTTCAGGAGGGAATATGAGGACCCAGACAAGGAGGGGTCCATGGCAGGTGCACGAAGTGGCGAGTGACAGAACCCAGGTTGGGACCTGCCCTCCAGAGAGAAGCAGCCCTCGGGGGTGAGGGACATCTGGGAGGGGTGGACGATCTCTGCAAAAATTTGTCTTATAAATGATGTACATATTGCAAAACAAAACACAAAACATCACCATCCAAATGTGAAATAAAATTAAATGAAACAAACCAAGGTTAGCTAGACCTGCTGGGACCCTGTGTCAGGGCTGGGAGCTGCAATCTTGGCCCCTTTTCCACAGTTGCTGGTTCTCAAGACACTTGAAGCCAGAGAAGATTAAGAAATCAGAGAGACAAGGGAGCCAGACAGATTACGCCTGGAAAGCTGGGGCAAAGGGCTGGAGATGAGGGCATGGGGCATCCTGTTAACGTTTCTGGCTCTCTCTCCCACCTCCCCTCTGGGTCTATGCCCCCCCTCTCTCTGAGCCTGTCTCCCTCTTTCTCTGGGTCTTTGTCTTCCCTCTCTCTGGGTCTCTGTCCTCCCCCAACTGAATCTCTGTCTCCCTTGCTGGGTTTATGTCTCTCTTTGGATTGAGCCCTTGGGTTGGCAAGGAGGGGCGAGGGGGCTCCAGGTGGCAGCTCCATCGCTTCTAACAAGAGCCAGGACTTTGCTGGCCTATCCGGAGCGGCATGACAGTCTGCCTGGCAACCTGTACGTCACATGACGGCGGCCGCCGGATTGGCTGGGTGCGTTTGGTTCAAAGGGGGTTTTGGAAAGAGTGGGAGGAGGGGCTGGTCTTCCGACACACTTGTGCCTCTCACCCAATGTTATTCCCCGTCCCGTCCCCAAATATTTAACCCCATGACTTCAGACCCTTCCTTTCCCTCACATCCTTCTCAACTCACCTGGCCCTTCTCCCCAGAACACCTAGTCTCCCCAAGCCCCGCCCCTTATATCCGCAGCCCCGCTCCCCCGCCCGCCTGGCGTCCAGCCATCACCCCCATTCAGAAAGCCACAGGTCCTCTTGCCGGGAAGGACGCCAGCGTCCGGGCAGCCCTCCAGGGCCTTCCCGGCTCCCCGGCCCCCGCTCCCCTGGGGACACTCGCCTGGTCCCCCGGCGTCCGGTGCCCGCCGCGCCCCCTCCGGGAAGAGTCCGGGGAGGGGGCCGGGCGCGGTCCCAGGAGGCGCGGAGGCCGGGCTGGCGTCTCAGGTGGCGGGGCCCCGGGTCTGCCCAAGCACGGAGGCAGGATCGGAGTTCACGTTCCCCAGCGCTGTCCCTGCGGGCACGGGCTCCCCTTCCCCGGCCGGCCGCCCTGCCTACGCTGGGAAACCGGACCCTCCCTCCCGGCTCCGGTTTCCCGAAAACTCCTGACTTGCAGATGCTAAGAATGGCTTTCCAAACCGGCCTTCCTCCGCCCCACCCCACCCCAAGGCCCGGCCTGGTTCCCAGCCCTGACCCGTTGGAGACCCCAGCGCCTTCCTTCACTCCTCCCGCAGACTCTGCATCCCGGGCCCCCATCCTTTTCCCTCTCAGACCCAGGGGAGTGTGGACCCTCACACCCAGGATTCTGTGACCCTGGCCCCTCCTCCCTCTGACTCAGGAGACCCCGTCCCCAGCCCCCTCCCTCAGACCCAGGTGTCCGATCCCCCAGCGCTTCCTCCGGGGGAACTTGGCACCCCTTTAGGTCCATCTGTTATTTGTCACCCTTTAGAACACGCGGGTGGAATGGGTGGGGGGACGGGGAGGGCTGAAACCACTGCCTCCCGCGGCCTCCTGGGAGTCTAGGGACTCCTTAAAGGGCTCCCCCTGGGGACCCATGCGTCCTCCCCAGGGCCCAACGGGGAGCAGCTGCCTTCAGAGGATTCGGAGGAGGAGTTCCACCGCAGACATGCCTGAGACAAAGCCAGGTGGCTGCCAGAACCCTTTCCCTATGTAGGGATGGGGGTTCTGTTTTCTGAATAGGGATTTTGGTCCTTCTCTGTGTGGGGTTTGGGGAATGGGGTGCCACCGCTGTGTGTGGAGGGGTTCCCTTTCCTGTATGTGAAGATAGGGGAGCTTCTGTCTTTTTTTAGATTGTGTAGAGGAGGAGATTTCCTTCCCTGCATGGGGAGAGGACCCCTTCTCTGGAGGGGGCTCCAGGGCCATCTCTGAGGCAGATGGAGATTCTCTGTGATGGGATTTCTTCTCATTGGAGTTGGGGAACCTGTGTATGTAGATCAGGGAGGGGGTTTTTTTGTATGTCATTTGAGGTCCTACATTTGGGATTGGGGCCCTCTGGGCAAGGATGGGACCATGTCACTGCCGAAAGATGGAAGTCTTTTCTCTGTAGAGGGCTGAGATCTTTGAGTGTGTGAAGGGTGGGGTTCCTCTCTGCATGGTGAGGTGTCCTTTTGTCTGTATAAAGATGGGGGACCCCTTTATGGGGATTGAGGTCTTATCTATGTAGGAATTAGGGGACCTTTTCCATATAAGGAATTTCTAGTGTGGGGCTGTAGGATCAGCATTGAACTGCGAACCATAAGTTGGCAGTTCAAGCCCACCAGCTGCTCCTCGGAAACCCTATACAGGGTCGCAATGAGTCGGAACTGACTCAATGACACTTCACAACAACAGTAACCCCATGTAGGCGAACCCTGGTGGCACACGGGTTAAACATTGGGCTGCTAACTACAAGGTCGGCAGTTCAAACTCACTAGCTTATCCTCGGGAGAAAGGTGAGGCTGTATACTGTCACAAAGATTTAAAGTCTTAGAAATAGTAGGGACCAGCTCTACTCTGTCCTATAGGGTCTCTGTGAGTTGAAATCTACTCAAGATTCCAACTCAAGAGTGGGTTTTTCCATAGAGGGGCTGGGGATCCTTTCTTTAAATGGAGTTTTGGGACCCTATTTGAATGGGACTGGGAGGCATTTCTTTCTATGGGGATGAGGGTCTTTCTCTAGGACAGAGGTGGGCAACCTTTTTCTGCAAAAATTATAACATCATTCACAGGCTGTACAAAATTATCAACTTAAAAATTAGCCTACTGTATTTGGTTAATCATTTAATTAACTCAACACTAATGGGATGGAGTCCTGGTGTGGTGCTGTGGGTTAATGTGCCAGACTGCTAAGCTGTTTGAACTGCAAGGTCAGTGGTTCAAGCTCACCAGCTGCTCCTCAGAAACCCTATACAGGGTCGCTATGGGTCGGAGCCGACTCGACGGCACTTAACAACAACAATGTGATGGCTGGAACTGCGGTTGCCTTGGCAAGGCCAGACCCAGTGGTTTTGTGGGCTTTCTCTGGCCCTTGGGCCAGCTGTTCCCCACCCTTGCTCTAGGAGGTGAACACAGGAGATATAGCCCCTAGAGACCCTCTCCTCTCAGAGTATCCATTTCACTGGCCTCAGACCAACCAGGCCATGGTTGGAAGGGTCCAGTCCTATCAGGGCAGGTAAAGGCTGCTGTTGTCAGCATGGGGTGTCCAGTTTCTAGCCCAGGGAAAGAGCTAATTATACCCCCAGATCCCAAAAGGTCAGGGCCTGGTGGCCTGTGTGGATGGGGCAGGGCCTGGTTGGGGTAAGTGGAAACCTGATCCCATAGACACTCAGGATTAGAGATACATTTACACCTCCAGTGGGGGTCCGGACGCCTGGGTCTGAGGGAAGGGAGAATTAGGGGCCTGGACTCCTGGGTCTGAGGGAGGAGGGGCTGGGAACCTGGACTCCTGACCCCTGGGTCCTGAAATATGAGGGAGGAGAAATGTAGTCCATTGTGAATATCATTTTTTTTGTTGTTTTATTTTTTTCTATCTCACAGTGGCCAAGAAGGCCCCCAAGGGCAAAGATGTCCCCAAACAAGCTCCCAAGGAATCCCCCAAAGAAACTTCCCCTAAGGAGGCTCCAACAGAACCCCCCAAAGGCGAGACCGGTATTCCCTTTTGTTCAGCCGAACTTGGCATCTCATCAGCCTTCTTCCATCTTCCAGTCTCCCTGCTCCACTCTAGTCCCTCCAGACTTCCTCCCTGCCCCCAGCCCTCCCATGGCTTCCCAGTACCCTGGGACAGTGCCCAGTCTCTCAGCCTCACCAACAGACTGGCTGACCTAATGCTGTCTCAGGCTGGAAATGGAGGCTGAGATCTCCTACCCTGAAGGCCCATTTTGGGCCATCCAGGCCCACCATCCTCCAGTTTACAGATGGGAAACTGAGGTCCAAAGGGAGCGGGGAGGCTGGTCGAGGTCACAGCCACCTGATACCTGCTGTTTCCCAGGTCAGGACAAGTCACTTCTCCCTGCGGCCCCCCTCCCCCCCCATCTTTGGCATCTGAGCAGAGGCTCCTCACTAATTCTAAACCCCTCCCCATTTGGCCTGCTGAGGCTCCTGCCCAGCTCATCTCTGACCCCGAGTCCTGTCTCCTGAGCAGAAACCCCAGCTGATGACATGTCCCCCACTGCTGAGGAGCCCACTGGGGTGTTCCTGAAGAAGCCGAACTCCGTGTCAGTGGAGACTGGTGAGAAGGACTAGGGGTCTGGACCCCTGAGTCTGAGGCAGGAGGAAATCCGGGGTCCGAGGGAGGAAGGGGATAGGAAATCAGGACCTCTGGGTCTGGGCAAGGAGGGGACTGGGGGCCCAGATTCCTAGGTCTGCGGGAGGAGGGATCTGGTGGCCCGGACCCCTGGTCTGAGGGAGGAGGGGGCTGGGAGTATGGACTCCTGGGTCTGAGGAAGGAGGAGAGTCTTGGGGTTAGGACCCCTGGGTCTGAGGGAGGAGGAGGCTGGGGGCCTGCTGTCCTCAGCCTGTTCTGGAGGGTCTTATGATCTCTGGCTTGACCCACCCTTACCCTCACCCCCCACGCAGGAAAGGACACGGTGATTGTGGCCAAAGTGAATGGGAAGGAGTTCCCGGGCAAACCGACCATCAAGTGGTTCAAGGGGAAGTGGCTAGAGCTGGGCATCAAGAGTGGCGCCCGGTTCTCCTTCAAGGAGTCCCACGACTCTGCCAGCAATGTGAGGACCCATGGGGACCGAGACTTGACGCTGTGTGGGCTGGGGTGGGAGGTCCTATGCGGCGACCCACTTCCCAGAAGGCCCAGAGCTCTGTAAATGGAGAATAGGAACTCTAGTGTTCTGGCTGTTTAGGAGCGATTGTGCGGGGAGACTAGTTGGGTGAAGGTACTGTGCACTTGGTGGCTCTGTGCATTCCAGGAAGGTCTTGGGGGAACTAGGGACATGACACACCCTAGGGGTCAAGATTGTTCAGGCTTGGACAAGAGAGCGAGAAATTGGAAGCTCGAGGAGGGTAGTGAGTAAGGTTGAGGCAGGACCTCTGTAGAGACTGAGTTTATCCCTGGGGGCAAAGGCTTCCTCACTCTGGGTCTGTGAGCCCTGATGTGAAGTGGGCCTGAGACAGTTGTGAGGTGGGCTCTGGGGATGATGGTGGCTTTGGAAGATGATCATGTGCACCTACACCCCTGGCCCTGACCCCCAGGTATACACCGTGGAGCTGCACATTGGGAAGGTGGTTCTGGGGGACCGTGGGGATTATCGGCTCGAGGTCAAAGCCAAGGACGTCTGCGACAGCTGTGGCTTCAACATCGATGTGGAGGGTGCGCTGGCAGGGGCTGGGGGTGAAAGGCTATGGGTCTGAGGTGGGGGATGGATATACTAGCCAGGTACAGCCAGAATATTCAGGAATGGGGTGAGGGGAAGTGCAGGCTTTGGGTAGAAGTATGGATAGGTGGACCTTGTCAGGGAATGCAAAATTGGGACAGGTTACACACTTAGCCTGTAAGGATGCCCATACAGGCTTAGGACCCAGGAAGTGTAGATTTGAGGGTGAAGGTGCTCAGGGTTTCTCAGTGTGTGCATGTGAAGGTTTAGGTGGTGAGTTAGGTGGATTCCTGGGTCTTGGTGTACAGGTTTGAGGATGCATCAGGCATAATTTGGGGAGCATGGGTGTCCATCTTTAAGGACTAAAGTGGGGGCTTCTAGTGAGGTTGCACAGGCCTGGGGGGTGCACTCTGCTTTGGCAGCAGACTTTGCCTTCAGCTCAGCTCACTCTCCTGCTGCCATTGCCTCCCTCCAGCACCTCGTCAGGATGCCTCTGGGGAGAGTCTAGAAAACTTCAAGCGTTCGTAAGTAACTCTGGACCCTGGGAAAGGGGTCTTGCCTCCTGATGCCAACAACCATGGAAAGATATCCCTTGGGAGGAGGGGATGTGGAGAGAAGGAAGGAATGGGGACCCTAGGATGAGTTTGTGGGGCAGAACCTCCATGGGGCTCATACCCATCTCGATGACCATAGGGGTGAGGGGAAGTCAGAAGATGCAGGTGAACTGGATTTCAGTGGCCTGTTGAAGAAAAGGTGAGTCAATCCCACTTGGCCTGGGGGGCGGGGAATGGGGGCTCATGGAGGAGGACGATGGTGGGTGAGGCTTCAGTTGCTTCCCATATGCCATTCCGAGACTCAATGCCCATCATGCAAGCCCTCTTCCATCCATCCACCCCTTTGAGCCCCTCAATATTCAACTCACCGACCCATCCATCTCCCCTGTCTATTCAGCTGTCCACCTGTTTGTCCACACCCCCATCCAGTCAACTGCCCAGCAATTCACCTAGCTGCCCACTCTTTGAGAGCCCGGGGAGGGGAGCGTGTTACAAGTTGAGTTTATGAAATTCACCAGAGGCTCTGTAGGAGAAAGATGAGGATTTCTGCTCCCATCAAGACTGACATCCTCAGAAACCCGATACAGGGTCACTATGAGCTGGAATTGCCTTGATGACACACCACCGCCCACCACCCCACCCACCCTTTAACCTATTCTCATATTCACTCTCCTTTCCACTCACGTCTTCACCCATCTAGCCATTTACCCACTATCCATCCATTAGTTCCTCCACTGTTTAACCACCATCCATCCATCCATCCATCCATCCATCCATCCATCTACTCGCATACCTATTCATCTTCCCATCTATCCATCCACCCATCTTCCCATATAGCCAGTCACCCATTCATTTGCCCATCCACCTTCCCATCTAGTCACCCATCTATCAATTTTCTCACCATCTGTCCGCCATATATCCATCATCCCGTATGTCTCTCCAACTGCTCCCAATTGAACCCAACATGCCACATACCCATCTAGCCATGCATTTCTCTCTCACCCGTTTACGTCTCCATCAACACGTCCATCCACCCAGACAGCTCTGTTAGTTTGAGCTGTAGGAGATTGCTGTTCTGTGGGTCAAAAATGGTTGAGTATTGGCAATTTCATATGGTTCATTGTAATCCTTTTTCACTCATTCATAATTCATTATCTGCTGGTAACCTATCTGTGTGGCACTGTGGGTGAATGCACTGGACTGCAAGGTCAGTTTGAACAGCAAGGTTGACAGTTCAAGCTCACTAGCTGCTCCTTGGAAACCCTTTACGGGGTTGCTATGAGTCGGAGCCGACTTGAGGGCACTTACCAACAACAACATATGTCCCCATAACCAAATCCCTGACAAATTTACTTACTAATTAATCTGTTTCCTTCAATGCAACCACCTACCCAACAATTTCCATCAACATACCCACTTAACCATCTCCCAACACATCAATCCACCTATTCACCCAACCACCCCCACTCATTCATCCACTTGGTGATCCATCTAGCCTCCATTGACCTATCCAGCCATCTCCTCCCTTGTCTCTTCCCTTCCCATCCGTTTATCAGTCCATCCACTCATTGCTCTGTACTTCAATCCAAATACTCATATGACCCCAGATTCACACACTCACCCATCCTCCTTTTGTGTTCCCTTCCCTTCCTTCCTTCCTTCCAATGATCCATTCATTGATTCCTTCACTCTATTACTCATCAGGCATTTTCTCGAGGCTCCTGTCAGCCAACTGCAGTGCTGAAATCAGGGGACAGAGTGAAGTGTGACTATCCCATGTGTGGTTATAGAGAGGGTTCTACAGGGATTTGTGAGAGGCAGGATGAGAGAAACTTACTTTCTGGGAATCATATGGGAACTTGGGCAATGAGTCTTGTAGGATGAATAGGAGCCCATCAGGAAGAGAGGGTGGGAAGGGTCATCTAGGCAGGGTAACATTTTATGGAAAGATTTGGAGTCAGGAAAGAAAGATCCCAGCATGTTCAGGAAAAAACAAAACATGTCATTTGGTTTGGATGGTTGTGGAAGTGATAACAGTAGAAGAGTCTAGAAGGCAAGATGGCGCTGTGAATGCCAGGCTGAGAAGGTGGAGCTTCTTCCTGAGGACAATGGGGAGCTATGCACAAGTTTTGAACACAGAAGGCTATCTGATGTGGGTGTCATAAACTGCCTCCGGGGCCATTTGGAGAAAGTACTAGAAGCCAGGAGGCTAAGGAGGAGTCAGGGATAATGGTCCAAAAGGAACAGAATCAGGAATAACAAGTCCAGAGAGAGAAAATGATTTGGACAAGTGGAAAAGACAGAGGAGGACCCCACAGCTCCTATGCCTGGTGGCCCTGGCCTGTTTTCTCCACTTCTCAGGGAGGTGGTTGAGGAAGAGAAGAAAAAAAAGAAAGATGATGATGACCTAGGTATTCCACCTGAGATCTGGGAGCTCCTAAAAGGGGCAAAGAAGAGTGAGTATGAGAAGATCGCCTTCCAGTATGGCATCACTGACCTCCGGGGCATGCTGAAGCGGCTCAAGAAGGCCAAGGTTGAGATCAAGAAGAGCGCAGGTCAGCCTGGGTCTCAGGGGGAGAGGGACCCTGCATTATGGGTATCTGATGTCTGTATCCTGGACCTGTCTTTTGGAGGTCCAGTCTAAGGGGTAATGGAGGAACCGCAGAGTTCAGAGGAGGCTTTCTGACCTTGATCTTGGAGAGCCCATGGTCTGGAGAGGGAGATTTGGCACCTCTGGGTATGAGAAGACAGTGAGAACATGTCACCTCCATTTCCTCTGCATCCCCCAATCTTTAGCCTTCACAAAGAAGCTGGATCCAGCCTACCAAGTGGACAGGGGCAACAAGATCAAGTTGGTGGTAGAGATCAGCGACCCAGACCTTCCTCTCAAGTGGTTCAAAAATGGTCAAGAGATCAAACCAAGTAGCAAGTACGTATGGAGCAGTCCCTGGGTGGGGGAGATCTTAGACTCAGAGAGAGCGCCCAGAAATTGGCTGACCTCTCTTTTCTTTTTAAAACAGTAACTCTCCATTCCCTTCGTTCCCTATCCCCTGGTAACCACTAATTTACTTTTGTCTCTATACCCTAACTTGTAATGTTGTCAAGGTTCATTCATGTTGTGGTATGTATCAGGACTTCATTTATCTTTATGACTGAATAATATTCCATTGAATGGATGGACCACATTTTGTTTATCCAGTTATCTGTTGATGGATACTTGGGTTGTGTCCACCTTTTGGCTGTTGTGAACAACATTGGTATACAAGTATCTGTTTGAGTCCTTGTTTTCCATTATTTTGGGTATAAATGCCTAGGAGTAGAATTGCTAGGTCACATGGTAATTCTAGGAGGATTAGGTGGCACTTATGGTTAAGTGTTTAGCTATTAATCGAAAGGCTGTTGGCTTGAATCCATTCAGAGGTACCTCGGAAGACAGCCCTGACAATCTACTTCCAAAATATGAGTTCCACTTTGAAATATGGGTTTGCCATGAGTTGGAATTGACTCGATGGCAACTTTTTTTTTTTTAAATTGTAATTCTGTGTTTAACTTTTTAAGGAAGGCCAGTCACTTTTAACCCAGAAAACGCACTCACAAACATATATGAAAAATGCAATCTCTTACTTAAAAAATAGTCAAAGGTAATGAAGAATGAAGAGCTAGAATTTATCTGAGAAGAAACCCAAATGGAATCACTTAGCCCTTCTACATAATTGGGCTCTAATGGGAAGTGACTCACCTTAAGGGTGGTGGGAGGACCCACCCCAGGATTAGGCTGGTGCTCCATGCCCTGGGTTGAGGTGCGACTTTTTTCACCAGGTACGTGTTTGAGAATGTTGGTAAGAAGCGAATTCTCACCATCAACAAGTGCACGTTGGCAGATGATGCAGCTTACGAGGTGGTCGTCAAAGATGAGAAGTGTTTCACTGAGCTCTTTGTCAAAGGTGAGGCCAGAATCCAGGCCTGAGTATGGGGAATGGAACTCTGGAGGAATTCTGAAATGACTGAACTCCTGTCCCTCCCACATCACAGAACCTCCAGTCCTCATCATCAAACCCCTTGAGGACCAGCAGGTGTTTGTGGGTGACCGTGTGGAAATGATGGTGGAGGTATCAGAAGAAGGTGCTCAAGTCATGTGGTAAATGACCCTTGATCTCTGTTGTCCATACTCAGTACTCACAGCGTCTCTGAATCTGCTTTGTCTCAGAGATTTCTGACCTTTACTTTGTAGTTATTAGGAGACTGCAGCCTTTCTTTGTGACCTTGCCCTTCACCCTTCACCTCTTTATAGAACTTTTGGCATCTACATATCCCTATGACCTATGGCTCCTCTTTGGGATCCTTTTCTGATTTCTACTGTTTCACTGATTAACTGAATAATATATCTCTCATTCATTTATCAGTCTCCTCATTTAATCATTCATCCATCTTTTGGTCCATCTCTCCCTGTATCTACTTATGTATCCACTTAAGAATCCATCCAATTATTAATCTACCCATTGATCCATCCATATATCCATCTATTCATCCATTCAAGTAGTTAGTCAATTATTCACCCACTTATTATCCATCCATCCATCCATCATCCATCTACTCACCCATTTGGACAACTAGTTAATTGTCTATTCACTTATCATACATCCATTTATTCATATATCCATCCATCCATCCATCCATCCATCCATCCATCCATCTATCCATCTATCCACCCATCATTTACCTACTCATCCATTTGGACTAGTTTATCCATCCATCCATCCATCCATCCATCCATATATCCACCCATTCATCATTCATCCATCCATTCATATATCCATCCATCCATGGATAATGCACTGGACTGCAAGGTCAGTTTGGACTGCAAGGTTGGCAGTACAAACTTACCAGTTGCTCCATGGAAAACCTATACAGGAACTCTATGAGTCAGTACCAACTCGACGGCAACATTCTTCTATCCATCCATCCATCCATCCATCCATCCATTCATTCATATATCCATCCATCATTCAGCTATCCACTCATATATTCATTTATCCATCATTCATTCATCCAGTCATCCAACCATTCATATATGCATCCATCCATTCATCCATTCATGTATCCATCCATCCATTCATCCAACCAGTCAGTTGCCATTAAGTCTATTCTGACTCACGACAACCCCATGTATATTAGAGTAGAACTGTGCATCATAGGTTTTTGTTATTGTTGTTAACTGCCATTGAGTCAGTTCCGACTCGTAGCAATCCTGTAGGACAGAGTAGAACTGCCCCATAGGGTTTCCAAGGCGGTCGTGTTTTCGGAAGCAGACTGCCACATTTTTCTCCTGCAGAGTGGCTGCTCGGTCCAAACCAATAAACTCTCTATTAGCAACCACATGCTTACCATTGTACCACCGGGGCTCACCTCCTGCCATCCAGACTCAAAGCTATGCTGGCCTCACTTCCCTCTTTTTCGTCCCCTCCTCTCAGGATGAAAGATGGTGTGGAGATGACTCGGGAGGATTCCTACAAGGCTCGATACCGCTTCAAGAAGGACGGGAAGCGTCATATACTCATCTTCTCAGACGTAACCCAGGAGGATGGGGGACGCTTTCAGGTCATGACCAATGGTGGCCAGTGTGAGGCTGACCTCATTGTGGAGGGTAAGGGGCCTGCAGGTGGGGAGGGTGTCGTGGCTGTGTGTGCTTTGTGCAGCTCCCAGTTGCTCAGACCCCAAACTTGGATGCTGTCCCTGATCCCTCTCTATCCCTGCATTCACCCCCAACAACTCCTGTTGGCTGCACCTTCAAAGCACATCTTGAATCTGACCATTTCTCCCCATGTCCCCACTTCCATCTGGCCCCATCACCCCTTGCTTGGACCATAGCAGTAACCACATGACTCAGTATTCTGTTTCTGTGTCTCCCTTTCCACCTTATGGCCAATTTCCATCCCTGTGATCTCTCTCTCTCTCACACATACACACCTGAGTCAAAATTATCCTTATAAAAATATAAGCCAGTTGGTGAAAATTCAGTGAGATCTGTTGTCTGCTTACCAGTATTTTGGTTTTGTTGTTGTTAGGAGCCATCGAGTCGGTACCAACTCTAGCGACCCTATGCACAACAGAACGAAACACTGCCCGGTCCTGGGCCAACCTCACAATTGTTGCCATGCTTGAGATCATTCATGCTGTCCCTTTGCCAGTCCATCTCGCTGGGGGTCTTCCTCTTTTTCTCTGACCCTCCACCTTACCAAACATGATGTCCTTCTCCAGCGACTGGTCCCTCCTGACATTTTGGTGGTGGTTGTTAATTTCCACTGAGTCGATTCCTACTCATGGCGATCCCAAGTGTGCAGAGTAGAACTGTGCTCCCAGGGTTTTCAAGGTTGTGACCTTTCAGAAACAGATCATCAGGCCTGTCTTCTGTGGTGCCCTCAGGTGGGCTTGAACTACCAACCTTTTGGTTGTGGTCCAGTGCATTTGCGTCATCCAGGACCCAACATTATTGCCCCAAAGCCAATTTTCTAGGTGCTATTGCTTATAATCTTTATGGAAACAGATAGCCAGGTCTTTCTTCCGCAGAGCTTCTGGGTGGGTTTGAATGACCAACTTTTAGTTTCATTAGCCGAGCCCTTAACCAGTTTGGAAATAGCTATGCTTGCAGTTTTTCATATCGCAATTCTGTTTTATAAGCTGTCTGCATTGAGGGGAAGGGTACACGGACTCTACCATATATTTTCAAACTTATATTTATGTCAAAGTAAAACGTCAAAGAAAATCAGGCCAAGTAAACTCCAGTACAGCCGATCCTCAGTATCTGCAGATTCTGTATTTGTGAACATGCTTACTCTCTAAAATGTATTTGTAACCCTCCCAATCAATACTCGAGTTACTCGTGTGGTCATTCATAGACGTGCACAAAACCGTGGGAAAACCCGAGTTGCTCGATGTGCACGTTCCCAGCTGAGGTGGGACAAGGTGATGTTGGCTTGCCTTTGTGGTTCACCTCTCAGACTGTCGCATGTCTGCTCCATGGTCTGTTTAGTGCCATGCTTGCCATGTTTTGTGTGTGTATATATGTGTTTTGTGTAAGTGATTTTACTGTTTAAAATGACCCCAAGCATAATGCTGAAAGTGCTGTCTGTGAATCAAAGCATAGGAAGGCTGTGATGTGCCTTGTGGAGGGAAATAAATGTGTGTTAGACCAGCTTTGCTCAGACATGACTTATATAGTGCTGCTAATGTGGCATCAGGATTGGAGGAAGACTCATTAACAACCTGCGATATGCAGATGATACTACCTTGTTTGCTGAAAGTGAAGAGGACTTAAAATATTTACTGATGAAGATCAAAGAGCACAACCTTCGGTATGGATTACATCTCAATGTAAAGAAAACAAAAATCTTCACCACTGAACCCATAAACAACATTCTTATCAATGGAGAAAAGATTGAAGTTGTCAAAGACTTCATTCTTCTTAAATCAACTGTCAACATTCATGGAAGCAGCATATTGCATTAGGCAAATCTGCTGCACAAGACCTTTTTAAAGTGTTGAAGAGCAAAGCTGTCAGCTTGAGGACTAAGATGCACATGACCCAAGCCATGGTATTTTCAATAACCTCATATGGACGCGAAAGCTGGACAGTGAATAAGGAAGACCATAGAAGAATTGATGCCTTTGAGTTATGGTGTTGGAGGAGAATATTGAAAGTGCCATGGGGTGCCAAAAGAACCAACAGATCTGTTTTGGAAGAAGTGTAGCCAGAGTGCTCCTTGGAGGCCAGGATGGCCAGACTTTATCTTTCATACTTTGGACATATTGTCAGCAGGAACCAGTCACTGGAGAAGGCTATCATGTTTGGTTAGGTGGAGGGTCAGAGAAAAAGAGGAAGACCCCCAGGAAGATGGATTGGCCAAGTGTCAGCATCAATGGACTCAATTGTGAGGTTGGCCCAGGATCGGGCAGTGTTTTGTTCTGTTGTGCATAGGGTCACTATGGGTCAGTACCGACTCAATGGCACCTAACAACATGAGTTCAATGTTCATGAATCAATAATATATTCAACAAACCAACCAACAAAACCCACCGCTGTCCAGTGGTTCTGACTCATAGTGGCCCTATGGGACAGAGAAGAACCACTCTGCAGGATTTCCAAGACCGTAATCTTTATGTGAGCAGACAGCCTCATCTTCCTCCTACAGAGGACTTGTGGATTTGAACCACCAGCCTTGCAGTGAACAGCCCGATGCTTAACCTACTACACCACCAGGGCCCTGTATGTAATAAACAAGGCGTCTTTAAACAGAAATGCACATTCAATAAGGTGACGTAATGAGCAGTGGAGTAGACATTCTCCGTCAGGAGAAATGGTTCAGTATTCACGAATTCATCGTTCATAGTGACTTTATAGAGCACAGCTACCCTGAGGAATGAGAATCGACTGTATATCCACATGTAGCCATAAAAAAAGGAACGTTTGAAAATCTACCCATATGGAAGGGTTTTCTAGAAACAGTGTTAGGTTTAAAAAAGGCAAGTATGTTATTCTTTGTATAGGGGGAAAGGGAGGAGGGAAGGAAAGAAGAAAAGGAGGTGGGGTGAAAGGGAAGAAGGAGGGAGGAAGGGAGGGGAGTTTTCCCCATTTTTTCAAGGCTATATCCCCAGTGCCTAGGGCAGCACCTGACACATAGTGAGTGCTCACAAGCATTTGGGGATGTGACGGTCCCTTGGTCCCTTCCCTCGCTTTCCAGAGAAGCAGCTAGAAGTCCTACAGGACATCGCAGATCTGACAGTGAAGGCCTCAGATCAGGCTGTGTTCAAATGCGAAGTGTCTGATGAGAAGGTGACCGGCAAGTGGTATAAGAACGGGATTGAGGTTCGACCCAGCAAGAGGATCACCATCTCCCACACGGGGAGGTGAGGAGCTGGGCTAGGTAGGGCTGGGCTGCATGTCATCACTTGCTGGAACTGCTGGAACACAACACCACAAAGTGAGTGACCGTAGGAGTGTGTCAATGACATATGAGGGGGCTTGGAAAAGTTCATGGAAAAATGAAATTCAAAGGTAATGGAATTTTTCCATGAAATTTTTGAAGCCCCCTTATATATAGGAGCTCTGTTGGTATAGTACTTAAAACTTTCAGCTATTATCATCTCAGTGGTCAGTGATTCAAACTCACCAGCCGCTTTGAGGGGAAAGATGTGGCAGCGTGCTTCTGTAAAGATCTGTGGTCTTGCAAATCCTATGGGATAGCTCTAGTCTGTCCTACAGGGTCACCATGAGTCAGAACCAATTCCACGGCAGTGGATTTGTGTGTGTGTGTGTGATCCTGGTGTGGCGCTGTAGGATAAGCACTGGACTGTAAGGTCGGTTTGAACCACAAAGTTGGTGGTTCAAATTCACCAGCTCCTCCTTGGAAACCCTATACAGAGTCG